TTTATCGTGCGGCGCGCAGCAATTAATAATAACAACGCAATCGGCCCCGTATCTTTTATAACCTTTCCGGGTATAAATCGCGAAATTCTGGAATTATCAGGCAGCCGGAATGAAAGGCTATTTCCGTCGCGCGGAATCACGGGCAATATTTTACGCGGGATTGGGGTTGAACGCGGGACACATCGACGTTTGATATTTTTATGCAGTGGCGCCACCGCGGAGAGATTTACGAGGCAGATACGCGATCACAAAATGTCCGACACTAAATCAAACGTGTTGCATCGGAAAACATCAGAAATTATTATTGGGACTTTTATGGGATCGATGGGAACGAAGGAGGAGAGACCGTCACAGAGAGAGAGAGGACAGGAGCGTGCCCTCCCCCGATGTAACGCAACGCGAAGTATCTTCCCGTCGATCTATCCTCGGATAAATCCCGATCTATCAGGCCCTACGTCCCCTCCATTTTTATATTCCGACGAAGAACGCGTTATGGCCATTCATTCGGCTGTCTGTCCGCCTCGTTGCCGGCGCTGCGCGCCCACCGTCCCTTTCGAACGCGTAACGAACCTATCAATCGCTAAAATCCTTACGTCCCCGTGGTTTCCGGGCTGCACCGGACGGAAGTCAACCCTCTGCTCTCGAGAAAATAATCGACGTCACCCGACGAAATCTAAAGCAATGTTTTTTCAACTCGTATAAACTTGTAGCTTAATCGGCACCGCAGGTCGGAATGAAAGATCGTTTTGCTGTTAGTGCCTCGTCTTTAACTACCGGGTGACTCTCGAAAGAGTACGATCCGACTGCTCGTTCTAAGGTTAAACAGCTATGGGAATACAGAGCAAGTTCCGCGAAATACCACCGGACGCGACGGACGGAAGGAGCACCGAGCAAAGCGTAGGTGTACGCGAGGCAACGGAATTTCGTCGAAAGATCGTTCCCCGGTGATGAAATCCATTCCTGCTAACGAAGGAACACGAGTTTTCGTTCTGCGAGGCCCACTCCGCGCGCCTCTGGGCTGCTCCTTCCCTTTCATTCTTTATCCTTGAAAGAAATAAAGGCAGAGTTGTAACAGCGGAATGATTAATATCCGGCTGACAGTTTGTGAAACGGGCAGCCAATAAACGGGATAAAAGTACTGGTGAAAAATAGCGCGCTCATTAGGGGTACAGTGACATCTGCGACTGGCTGCGCCGAAACTCCTCGAGAGCAGTCACGCTGGAAGCTGCCCGGCCGAGGGGGACAAAGAAGACAGGTTTATTAAAGTAATGCCGGATCATTTTAATATCCGAATGGGAACGCACTGCATTCCCAGCCACGCCAATCTCGAACACACCGTTTCTAATCCTCCTAATCTCTCTCGGACCTCTGCTATTCGACACGTTCGCCGACTCTGTTATACGTAAACGACCACTAGCATTTTCTGCTTTACGCAAAGTAAACTAAACTAATTTTGCGTACGCGGATTTTCACGAGAATCAGTAACTCGTTCCGTGCAACGTTTGGAAAGTCAACTTCTTACCGTGAACACCGTTGAAACCCGTGTTGCTATCGGTATCGTCGAACAACTTCTTCGTATAGCTTCTTTATTTGATTCCTTCGAAACGTTTCTGCGTAACACTTCAGTGAACAAGTAGAGCACAACAGAATCCGATTCTGGTGGAATAGCTGAATATCCATGCACAACCGATTGTAAACAAATATCGAAGATGCGTTTAGTCGCAGGATTGTTGGAGGAATTAAACTTATTTCAATGTGGAATCTTCGAATTATTCGCTAAAGCAACGAACTTTCATCAAATTGTTCATCGCTAAACAGTCCGGGTGGCGCCATCTGTGGTACAAATGGCGAGTTTCTTAAATCATTTGCATGGTAAAGAAGTGTGAAAAAGAAATACCGATAGCGATGAAAGTTTATTCGCTGTCTTTAGCGTATAATCCTAAGATTCCGAAATCATGTGATTCTTTTATAGTCGGTAATTCAAAATATGCGACACCGAGTCGTACGAGTTTGTAATGTCTATTCTATACGTTACCTGTGGTTGCAGTCTTGTATAGTTCAGCAGTTGACCGTTCGATTCAGGTAGAGTCGCTAATGCATCGAGATATTTTTTGGTAGTCTCGGTATGTCAGAGAACTATCGGTAGAAAAATACATTGTACACAGTCCGTACGTATCTTCAGTCTGTGACGGATAAGATCAGTATAGAGGATAATTCACGAATGCACGTTTCTTCGAAAGAAAATAGAAATGACTATTGTTAATAGTAATCGATGCAGAATACCAACGAAAGAGGACACACAGGCAGACGAAGGTAAACAACCTTTAGTAGCAATCGTATCACTTCAGTTCGATATATTTAATTGTCGAGTAGATATTTTACAATGTTTACTCCATTTTCTTATAAAAATTAATTTTCTTTTTTTAAAAAAGCAATATCATAGAAAAGGAAATGATAATCTACAATACAGAGTTTTCACAAGAGAACAAGAAACGTACTTAATAACGTACGGCTTGGAAATATACAAAAGAAGGTATTAAAAACTAGGTTTCTTAACAACGTGTTGTCGTATTTCCTGAGGTTCCGCTCGAGCGTTAACATTAAAATATATTTTACGTGATTTTGCGTCCGACAGCAAGGAATTCCACATGATATCCTTCTGGAATAAGAAAATGATTTTCCATTAACAAACGCGAATCGTCGGTGTCACGTGTGTAATTTGAAGATCGTCTGAACGTGTCTTACATTGAAGACACCAAAGTTACCGCAGATTATCAGACTGTGTTTCGCCCTGGTCAGGGCAACGCAAAGTCTTTGCCTGTCGGATAGGAATCCGATCTTGTGGCTTCGTACGCAGGACATGATTATCACGTCGCGTTCCTGTCCTTGAAACCCATCGACCGTATTTACTTCGAACTTCATCTTTTTACGAAAATTCTCCGGCCGTGACGAAATCCTAAAATCATCACCGATATCAATGCACATTATGCGGGACACCCCGTATACCGTATTATCCGAATAGAAACGAACACTGACTTCTCGTTAATTTTATGTTGTATCACAGTTTTCTGATTGTTGTACGGCGTGAGAATACCAAATGTAATAGACTCCCACTTCTCCAGATTGGCGTAGGTCAACATCGAGTATATCATATTGGCTATGAACTGTGCTTCGTCGGTATTCGAAAAGTTATCGTTGTTCTGGCTTGTATTCAGATTGAAAATTCTGTACGAGTGAAACGGAAACTCCTCGTTCCGCGGTATCGCGGTCTTCAGTTTGCCGGCGTAGAAGAATTTATTCGGCCAAGAGGAGATATCGCGTGGCATCCTGTACTGAGTGTCCAGCATGATGATCGGGTTGTTCGGAGTGAACTCGAAGGCGTTTTGGACCCGGGAGAAGATCGACTGATCCAGTCCGAACCTCTTCGCCTGTGGACTTATCACTGTGGCGGGTAGCTGATTCGGATCGCCTACCAACACCAGCGTGTTCACGCCCAGCATCAACGGTATCAGGCTCTCCGCTTCGGTGCTCTGCGTCGCCTCGTCCACGATGCACACCGATATTCCTTTCTTACTGGTAACGAACAGAGACTCCATTTGCTTGTTGTAACAGGAGGACAGGGTGCAAGTGATGATATCCGCGTAAGCCAGGATTCTGTTCTCAGCGGCCCGCTGTATCCTCGCGAACTCCTTCGAGTTCATTTCGTTCAAGGGCCTGCGGTTCTTCAGCAGCTCGTACTTGGTGGCCATGTCCGCCAGTTTCATTCTCAGGTATTTCTTGTAAGCCTCGTCCATCTTCTGTGTACTCGCGATCTCGCATTTCAGCGCGTTCATCTTCGACTCCAACAGACTCTTCTCCTCCTCCACGCTTTCCAGCGGAATGCTCATCGAGTTAGTCGTGGTCTTCTTCATGTCTCGCTTGGCCAGCTCGGCGACAGAGATGTCCTTCACGACGGGATGCATCACCTCCGACCGACCGATTCGAACCATTCGGAATCGTTTGTGGCTTATGGTGGACCTGATCTGCAGCAGTCTTAAAGTGATCTCGTCGATGGCGGCGTTCGACGGAGCACAGACTAGTATCTTCAACGAACTCCCGCTACTCGTGTACCTATTGTTCCCGTAGAGCACTTGGCTCACTATATTCGCGATGACCTTAGACTTTCCGGTACCCGGTGGACCTTGAATGAAGCACAGCTTCGACTGTTTTTGTACTATGGTCTCGGTCACTTTGAACACGGCCTCCAACTGTTTCGGATTCAATTTGTCTTTGGTGATTAACTGTTCCGACGTCGACACGTTCGGCAAACGGTACTGTTCGATCTTCGGGCTTAAGATCAAGCTCATCACCGGCGACTTGGGAAGGTATTCCAAGGCCTGCACCAACCGCAACGTCGAGCGTAGATAGGTCACGCTTCTCATTCGCTTCACTCGATTTACCAGAACGTTCGGTTCCAAAGCCTTCGTTAACATGGTGTACGTTATTAAGACGTGCGGCTTTTTCACATAGTTCTTCAGCTCCTTGTTGTAATGGGTCCATTCCGTCAGCACGGTCTGGTGAACGTCGTTCACGTACGCGAACACTTTGTGAAACGTTTGCCCCTTGTCTTGATTTCTGGTATACTCGAAAAACACCAAGTCCCCGTAATTAGGATACGCCTGTTTCTGCAGATCCTCCCTCGTGACTAGTACCTCGAGCATCAAGGTCGTCAAAGATACATTCGGCGAAGGCATACTCATTTGAATCGAGTTCTCAACGATGGAACACATAAGCGTGGGTCGTCTGCGATTTTGATCGATAGCCTGAAATTCTTTCGTTATTCCATGCCAAATTTCTAGCAATAAAAGAGGCGCCATGATTCTGTAGTATTCCTCGTAGGATTTGTAATGCGTGAGCGTCACGTGGAGCTCCTCGTCCGCGACGACGGGCGCTATCGTGTTTAAATACTGTTGCTCCTCTAGCCAAACTGGATTCCACGAGAAGATACGTAACAAAAATTGGTTCGTCTTGTCGGTTTCCGTTACTTGTTTCATCACTCTCGTAGGGAGGGGTGCATCTTTGCCCACGAGTTTCTTCAGAACATTCGTCTCCTCGATTTGATACTCGCGTACAGTCTTGATCACCGCGGAAAAGGACACGCGCTTCTTTAATCTTTTACCCGGGGATTTTATGCTTGTCGTTGAGGTAACGGTGGGGAGGGGACGGTTCTGCGGTGGCAGTGCAGGTGCAGTCGTTTCTGGTTTTGATTTATTTCTCGCTTCTGATTCCTTCGGACTAATATCCAATACGTCTTTCATTATCCTCGCCAACGTTCGATCTTCCAGGGCTTCCTGAACTGGAACATTCGCGGTAGCTTTAGCGACGCTGCTTTTTTTCGGTATCTTGCCAACACTGTTGAGATTCAACGAGTTTTGCAGGTGCGTCGATAGATCTTTGCTCGTACTTTTACTTGCATCTTTAAGTGTTTTCGGACTCGAACTATTATTTGCTACCGTAGGATCGTTGCAAGTTTTCGACTTCTCCTTCGTTTCCTCCGGTTTCGCTGCGGAAAGTGCGGCTTCTATCAGCAAATCGTTTCGCGTCTTCATAGACACTTTTGCCTTCGGTTTGTTAGCGATACGCTTCTTCTCCCGATTGCTCTCCGAGGACGATTGCTTTTCCTCCATGGCGAGTTTCTTTAACCTTTGCTTCCTACTGTCCGCCAATGCTTTCTTCTCCTCCTTGGTAAGCGGACTAACCATCTTCTTCTTAGTCGGCGGAAGGCAGCCTGCCCATTTGTTGAGCACTTTTCGGTTCTTCTGCTCTTTAGCGTGCATATATTCTTCTATTTTAGCCTTATCTCTCAATTCTTTTTTCTCTATAGTAGATAATTTTTGTTTCGCAGGTCTCTCGGAAGCCTGTATAATTTTACTAGTGCCACCCATGGCGTTTCTTCTTCTGCTAGCCAAATGCAACGGTTCTATCTGAGTTATCCTTTTCTCGGGAGACTTCTTCTTTAAGCCAACTGTAGCAGATTCCGTTGAATGGCCTATTAAAGGATCACGACCCACGATTCCATGCTTACTCGAACTGAAATTTTTCTTTTCGGCTGGCTCCGAACATGTCGCGCTCTCACGGTTAATTGCATTACCGTCGATTGATTTGTTTAACGTGTCCGCGACACGATCCCTGGACTCGACTTCTAACTTTCTCAGACGAGTGCTCGTTACGTCCATTTCGTTTGCACTCCTCGTACTTTGCAAGGAAGTCTCTTCATCTTTTTCCCGGGCAAACTTGTCTTCTTTCGTTTCCTTTTCTGCTTTGATCTTCTCGTTTATACTCGATCGTGATTTATCTGCAGACATATCCGATCCGCTACAGAGATCTTCAAGATCAATAATCTGTACATCCGCATCCTCCTTCTTTATACTGTCGTCTTTCACTTCCCTATTAAATTCATCTTCGTTGAGCGTTTGACTACGAGATAATCTACGTAACCAATTTTTGTCTTCGTCGTCGCTGTCGGACAAAGAAACGATTAAATCTTCATCGTCGAGCATACTGAATCTCTCGTTTTCAATTTCTACGGCTTCTTCTTTGATCTCGTGTTTAACCGACGCGTTCATGCCAAATCTAATGTCAAATAACTGAGAGCACGGGAAAACATCGTCTTCGCTGTCGCTTAATTTCACAACGTCCTCCTCGGAAAATTTCGTTTTCGGTACATGTTGTATTTTTTTCAGTTTGATTGGAGATTCAAGCGGTACATCATTCGAGGAATTCCAAAATATACTTTCATCTACATCTGTCAATTGTAATTCTTCTTCCATTTTTATTGCGTTATCACCAGTAATTACAAAACTTGAAGGAACTTTAGGAGATAACGTTTCAGTCTTCTCACTTTCAGAAGTCTTTAAGTTTACTTTCGAGTCATAATTTCTATTTTCTATGCTTACTGCTTTTGTACTAGTATCTCCTATTCTGTGTTCGGACTGCACATTGCAACAATTACGGCTATTTGCTAGATTCTCTTTATTTTTATTATTCAATAAATTGCTTTCCATAGATTTGGCTACATTCTGAAAGGTGTTCTTGCTACTTTGATCCGTATCTTTACAACTACTAAGAGCATTTTGCTTTTCCTTACTACCGCTGCTCGTATTACTCAACTGGGAATTCATTGAATTTACGAGTCTATCAGATTCCAACACATTATTGTTAAATGAAACGTGAACTATTTCAAGATCATTATCGTCCACCGCATTGCTGTGTTCTAAAATGATAATACCCAATTTCAGTCAAATTTTCATGTACTCCTCATAGTTGGCAAATAAGAGAGACAATATTACCTTTTAAAGATGCTTCTTTTGAACAAGATTCTAAACGATCCAGCAGTTTCGGTATCTTATTTGGAACAACATTCGTATCACAATTTTTTTGTTCCCTCTTACGTTTAATGGCATGATCGGATTTATCGTTCGTTATACATTTTGAAGATGCAGTTTTATGATTCAAGGATGGTTCTGCAAGGCTTTGCACTACTATTTGTGGTTGCTGAAATTGTAATGGTACAAAGGAAAGTCAATAAGTCGACAAGCATTACGATAAGCGAATCTCTAGATAATCTAGATTAGACGAGACTAAGATTTACCGCAATTAAATGTAATTTATATGCAAACATGGTTTCATCCATATTATCAAAACCAGAACAACCCACTCCAATGACATCGTTTGGATTTAACTTGGTCGTTTGGTACGGTTGCTGTGGGACTCCATTTATAAACACACCGTTGGAACTCTAAAATAATATTATACTATTAAAAGCAATCGTCCAATTCACGTTATTAGATCACAAATGTATATACAAACATAAAATTAAAGGACAATTCGATAGTTATATTATGGTTTCATACAAATCTAAAAGAATGTATGTAATTATTACTAGTTGATATCAGGAACAATTGTAACATTGTCATACCTTTAAATCGGTAACATATAATTCATTTTTCCTATGAAAAAATATGCAATGACGCCTTGAGACGGCCAGACTAATGCATACTATCTGATTTTCCTTGGCTCTGCCACAAGTGTACTGAAAACAATTCATTTTTCTATCAACGATCCCGTTACTTTAAATTATTATGTAAGTTCATTGAAGTTCAACGACATTCGGTAATCTGTTGCTACAAAAGGTTGTGTTAACAGAAATACACGAAACTGTCGACTACAATAAGAAACAGTCAACGATAGAAGTGCGAAAAGAATGATTTACAGGTAAATAATCGTGAACGTACTGTGTGGTCGGGTTTATCGAGAATAATCACGCCAGGCACATTAATTCGTTCCAATACGAAATAGCAATCATCTTTCGCTCCCATGTTTCTCGAATTGATTCCCTTTAATTCAAAAGGCCCACGAATTTCCTTTGATCGTTAACCTGCTCTTTGTTACTCCAAAAGCATTTCGCGGGGATTTCCGGCGACGTCCACTGAAGCGCAGGAATCTCGACGTATATCAGTTTGCGCAGGATCCAAGTATTTCCTTTGTTGACAAAACCATCGTTTCGCTTTTTAAACGAACGAGCACGTTGCAACTCGTCCATACAAAACCAAAATAAATTGGATACACATGCTTGACGTTTATCGCCTATCCGACTAAGAATTACGCAGTGTGTGTATATTCGAAATTCGGTTACTGGGTTTTCTAGTAGAACGCTTTCTGGCCATCTAGTGGCCCAAGATCAAAGTTCAACTCCTAGAAGTATGCAACCCGCTAGACCCGCGCGTCAAGCGTAATATCGTGTCACGGGTGCTTGCATAGTTACTTGGAAAGAAACCCTTATGCGCGCAATTTCAAATACCACCTATAAATGTGTAAGAATATATTTCGCTATTTTCCTAGGTATATCGCGATAATATAATACGCGTATAACGTTCCGCTTTGTAGCTTGTTCTACGAGGAGATTATTTAGAATAAACGTTTCGCAGAAAAATTCCGGAATCTAGCTTAAAATCGGTATTGTATCTCGCACAGAAATTTGTGGGCGTTCCGTCTGTGAGAATCGAGTGTTGAATTATGACTCTACTGTCGCGGTACATCGTGTAAATCGAGAATCCCCGTAATCCCCGCACGACGGTAGGTATATTCGAAGGAGGGTCATTGGCGGACGTAAGAAAATATTTTCTGTTTTTATGCGTTCGGGGACTGGTCGGGATTGCGAAAGAAGGACGACCAGTTTGAACATAATGCGTGCCGGGCGGTTCACTTTCGGTTTCGCCGATGCGAAGGAGAGAGTGCGGTAGACGGAACGAGATCGATAATCAAAACAAAGAGAAAAAGAACACGAATACCAATAATTGTCCATCAGCTATGAGAAATCCTGTTGGCACAGTTCGATCGTATCGTCATCCGCTTATCGCGGCTCGAGTGGGGGCACAGAGGGGCTGTAGGGACCAATTTGCTCGATTAATTAATCACTCAACGAATTTCCGATAAACCGATTGAATTTCTCCTTAACATTGATCCCCGATCAGCGCAGACGATTCCAGTATTCGCGTAAATTCCTCTTTCGCGAGTTTTCATTGAATTTTCATTGAACTTTCATTGAATTTTCAATGAAGGCGACACCGACAGACACTGCGTGCCTCTCGCGACTCCTTTAAAGGACGACGGATTACGGAGACTCTTTGAAATCGTCGAGTGGCACATTCGCAAGAGATATCACGATTTTATTGGTCGTTCAATGTTAATTGCGGCAAAAGTTTCATGCGAAACGAACGGTTCCTTCCTCTTTTTCGCTGGCCATCGACGGTCGGCCCCACTCGTAATCGCGCGGATCAAATATGAAATTGATTGTTGCCAATGACGCGTACGCAATAAGCTGTAAGATACGGCGAACGCGCGGACAAGTCGATTACTGGTTTAGGGGACTCGGCCCGACGAGGTTGCGCAAGCTTTTCATCTCGATCGTTCGAACGAGTAAAATTGGATCGTTGCCCCCCTTGTGCCTGATCCGACCTTGTTACTCGCGCCTCTTGAGCAAGATTCAATGGCCCGGAGAGCTCCGCGTCGAAGCCAGATAAGAGCGTTGCCTCATTGCTCATTACCTTCTACTAATTTGTAAAACTCCACGGATATCAACATTGCGAGTACGCCGCGCGAAAGGTTCATCGATATTTCGGATGCGATCCGAATGTCCTCGATCGAGGATCGCCTCGGTCCGCGAGCCGAGTCCACCGTTGACCCGTTAGCGTCGATTCTCCATCGGTTTCGACGTCGATTCGAGTCGATAGTTTGACGAAGAAGCGTCCTAAAATGAATGCGAATCACCGAATGGTCTACATCGGTTCGCACAAATGGTCTACAGCGAGTCAAAATAGCGTTGCTCCGAAAAATGCGAGCAGAAAACGGGTCTTTTCTCTTATTTTGTATGGACTCCCGTAATCCGGCCCGAGGAACGGATGGGCGTTGAATTTTACACGGGACACGCGAAGGATCCGACGCGACGAGAATGTCAAATAAATCCTAAAAGCGCATCGACCCAGTTTACTCGACCGTTTTCACTTTCGGGCGAGCATAATCGGCCTCCATTCAGGATCGCCTAATAAAACCGCATCGCATGATCCACTTATCGACAACCGGCGTCACTGGCAGACTGTTAGGGTAGGTTTGTTTTACAGCAACGTGTCAAGTTCGATTTCCCTTCCACCTGTAAAGAAGAATACGATAATATTCCTAATTCCGATCAACCGAATACGTATCGTCGGTAGATTGCTTAATAATTGGATGCGTTTGTTAACCGTTTGCTCGGCAACACACTCGATTCCCCTCGAGTTCGCTCTGAAAAATTCAACCCGGATCGGAACGGTGGCACGATTAAGAACACCTACGGCCCCGATCCGATTGTTGCGTAAGGTCGATTCGATCTATTGAAAGCTTGGCCTGTCAACTCCTACAACCGAGCAGGTTTTTCGGAGATCGCACGCCTGGTAGGACGAGGCGTAGATCGGGCCAATGGTTGGGAGGGGTACCGGAACGAGACCGTTTTGTGAGAAGGGGTCGCCATTGGGACGACATCGCCATATAAGCAACGTCCGCTGCCACTGCCGAATCAGAGACTCGCACCCCTTCGTTGATACGGTTCCTCGACCAGTAGTTCAGGTAACGAACGCTTCCACTTTGCTTCTACAGAGAAATCTACGTTACATATTCTAAAGCTGCGTTACACAGCTGCCCGAGCAGCGCGTTCCAACGGGAATTCTAATCCATCGACCACCGAAATCTGTTCCAGGATGCAGACCGGAATGATATTGCTGGTGATAGCGGCGGCGTTGCTGCGCGGCGGTTGCGGCAGCTCGGTGTCCATCAAGATGCCGTACCTGAGCCCGGCCGGTGTCACTTACATCAACAACGTGGACTCCCAGGACCTGACTTACGCGTTCCCCGCGAACGTCCAGGCTCACCACGTCGGATACGCCGCTGCTCAGGTACCTACGGTCGCCGCCGTGCCATTCGTGAAACACGTGCCCACCGTGTCCCACGTGCCCGTGACCAAGTACGAAGATCACCCGGTGGTCCTGGAGAAACAATTAGACGTGGTGAAGCCGGCCGTTCAAACCCGTAAATTCGAGGTGAGCTCTCGTACCTAAACAGCAAGACCGCGTTGGCCGACGAAAATTTTCGCATCTCCGAAAATTCCCGATCGTACGTTTCGCTAGGTCCGCCGTCCAGCGATCCAGAAGCAATTCTACGACATCGAAGAACGCGTGGTGGTTCGGCCAGCCGGCTCGGCTGTGGTCGAGCTCGAGCAACCGACTTCCAAGGTCCAGAAGGGACCGGCCGTGCTCCAGCCGTATTATCCTCAGCAGTTCGAAGGCATCTACAACTTTGCTCCCTCGACGATTGCCCCGCCCATCTCTTCGACTCCTGCCCCCGCCTCGAACGACGAGGGCGTTGTCGTGGAGAACCCAGACTTCCGTAAGCTGCAGGAACAGGTACGATACACCGGAACGAGCAGCGATTACTCGATTTTCTCGAGCGACACTGACAGTTTCTCTCCTCGTCAGGCTGCCAGGCTGAATCCCCAGGTGAGAACCGGCTCGAATGCCGCCGACGAGCCCTTCGTTGCCGCTGATCCGTCGCCGAGCGTGATCGTCAGTCCCAACTCCGCTCCTGAGGAGAACAGAAACAATCAGAACAGGCTTCTCGAGCTTCTCACGGCTCGCGGGAACGTAGCCGAGGTAAGAGATTAATCTTTTGTTTGTCTTCGGCGAGATTCTGACCCGTTGCTATCCCCGCAGGTCGGTTTCGGACGATCCGGGCTCGCGAAGACCGCTTTGGAGGAGGTCGGCCGCGTCAGAGGTCGAGTGCTGTCCGCGATGTCAGCTCCGGACAACGCGGAGCCAGCCGACGAACGGGTGTCGACGCGCCGCGTGGTCGTCACCAGGCCCATCGAGACTCTTCAGGAACTGAACGTGGTGGAGCCGGCGACGAAAATCGAGAGGGTCTCCTATCAGCAGCCGAGTTTCATCAAGACGGCCCGCCTCGACCACATTCCGGTTCACAGCTCCATCCCCGTTTACGGAAAAGCTTTGACTCCAGCGGTAGCCCACGCAGCCTTCCCCGTTTACCAGAAGACCATCTCACCGGTCTACTAATTTTACCGATGACCCAGCCGACTTTGCGATTCTCCTCTCTGTACTCCGATTCTCGAGACACCAGTAGAAGTCGAACGATAACGATCGGTCGTTGATGTAGTGGCTCTCGCGTTGACTTCTTCGTTCACGCGTAATGTAAATATTTCCCTTTATAATTTTATATGCATATACATGCGGTGTACACATCGCGTTCACGTTGAAACTGTAATTAAACGCAATTAATCGAGCGAGAAGCGCACGCGTTTACCCGCGTACAGAGAAAGAGAGAGAGCGAAGCGCACACGCTTGGCTCCCATGTTTCCTATTGTACAAGATGTTTACATATAAAGACAGAAGCGAAATTAACCGGTTGATTGATTCTTCTCGCGGGACCCATAATTTCAGACGTCATTGATCCTATCCTCGCAACGCCGCCATACACACAATTTTGAAGGAATGCGCACAGGTGCAAACATTGCACCACCGGAGATCAACGTCGCGAGATAATTGAATATACGCGCCCTGTCGACGGACACGTTCGTGGCCAGTTTGAGACGCATCTGGTTAAACGATCTCCTCGGTAAAAGAACAACGAGAGAAAACTGCTCGAACCCGAACCTGCGCTTATACGGAACATCTGGAAACATACGGTGTTTCGATTAGTTCATCCTATCGACGAGAATGCGAATGTCAGTCGTATGTCAGGGGTAAAGAAAAGATAAGAGATTAGTTGCTAATCGAGAAAGTACAAGTGCCTCACCGTAGCTGAGAGCGTTCATGAATTATTCGCGCAACCGGTTACGGCGCGGCGAGACTGATTCGCTGGGAAAGATCGCAAGGATCCCCTCGGCTCAAGTGCACGGCCATGCAGTTTGTTGCATAAGAACGTCTCTGCCCATCTTTCACCGATGGGCTCGATCTCTTTCACTGTCGCCTCTTCCATTGAATTATGCAGCGGAATGACGCGAAACGCCGAGAGAGTAAGTTACGACTTCCTGATACGGCCAAGTTAATTCCGACAAGGGCAACCGCTGCCTCTGGGCATTACCTATAAGGACGTAACATTGACCCAAATGCCGTAGTATCCGGGTAGTTATCCGCTCCCTTGTCTCCTTTAACTCGAACGAGCCGCCTCTCGGTAAACTTCTCGACGTATGAGAAACGATACGATTTCTCGGTTGCTCCGAACGCGTCGAGATTGTCTAGGCAGAACCGAGTTTTCGAAGTTTCCCTTGAAAACGCGAAAGCGTCCGCAGTCCGGGTTCTCCCGTCTCCGTTCGGTGATCCGCGGCGAGTAACTCTATCGGAGCAACGCGTCTAGCTATTGCAACTGGCAGGGGCAGGGTCAACCGCAAAAAACCATAAAAACAGAATCGAAATAAAACAACAGAAATATTCGAACGAACGAACGAACGGATAAGCGAGGTAAGCCGAGGAAAAGGCTACGGCTGCGGGGAAAGTAGCTTAACCTACGAAACTGGAACAGGCATGGGCGACAAGGAAAGCATTGCTGAATAATCCGTATAGCGTAACTCTCGCCGAACGAACGCTACAACGTTACCGTGCGCGTGACGCGCAAACCGGAAAGCTCCGGGGAACTCTAGAAAAATTGGCGAGAACTCGCGTGGGCAGTTCGAAACCTAGCGAACGAGCTCGGTGAACTCGCCCAGGCGGATATTTCGACTGCGTTCCGTCGAGAAAGCGTATGCTATCGAAAACGAAGCTCTTCGGAGCGCGATAGACGCTCGCGGGAAGCTCGCTTCGCTAACGTACCGTTGAATCTTACGAAAGCCAATTTTCCCGGCGAAAGTCGAAGAAACGTCCGATCGTTTTCGGAGAAACGAGTGCACGACATTTGATTTGCAACGCGGAACACGTTCCCACGGACACGCACCGTTTTTGCACCTATGAAATTTGACGTTACGCTACTTTTAACAAATTCCCGGCCCGCAACGCGAGCTGAATTATTCCCTCGCGAACGTGAAAAGTGAAACGAGCTTCGCCGAGGCGAATTTTCGACGGAAGCGACTCCTTATCGCGGATATATTCCTCCTGTAAACCGGTGCCGAGTTAATCGATTCGCTCGGCAATTCTAACTCCAACTTTTCCATCGAGCGACATTCGAACCCAAACTCACGGCCGACGGTCCGCCTGTGCCCTAACGTTATCCTGCCGAGCGAGAAATTGGAGCGGATAGTCTTTTATTCGGAATCGCTAGGAAGGACAGACGAGAGGAGAGAGAACAGAGAAAAGAGAAAAGAAAGGGTGGATCGGTGTGCGAGTGGCCGGCAACGCATGAATCCTCACCCTTGAAACGGTTCAACGGAGGAAGAGTGGCCTCGCTCGCGAGGTCTAAGGCCGACAAGAGGACCACAGGCTAGGCAATGACCAAGAAACGTCGAATGTAACCTCAGAGCTGACTGAGAGTATCGTGCACAGTCACCAGCTATATAAGTAACACTGTAACGGATCTTGAATTCAGTTAGAGACGCACAACAGCGATAACTAGATCCTTTCGAGCCGGGTTTATCGAGTGTCCGTCGAGGTGAGTGTCGGTGACGCGGAATTTCACGTGACCCGGTTGAGAAAGATTCGGACGTGAATTTTTCGGTTGCGCGGCTCGTCGGGCACCGATCGCCGATAGAAAAAACAAACAAACGGATCTAATTCGAGACCATTCCGGAGGGATCAACTGTCGCGTTGCGTTGCCCCGCGTTGCGAGAGAAAGTCACCTTTGCTTTTAGTCGAATCATTTTTTTTTCTCCTCTCCGAATATACTAGTTTCGACGAGAGTTAGACTGAGAAAGAACTTTTCCTCGATCCGCGAAACAAGACCTTTATTCGATCGGGAGCCGTTTTCGCACGCGCGACGATCGATCGTTGTTGTTCGAATCGTTCGATCGATTTAATTGCATTCGAACGGTGCAGATGTTACGGCGAATCGCGTGATGTAATCGGATATTAGCGCTTGAAGTACGGTAGAAGGTTTCCTCGTCGCGCATTCAAATCTCCGGAGTGGCAGGCGCTGTCGCCTCCGCGATACTCGATCGCGTATCGGCCTGCTGTTCTACGCGTAGACCACGGTGTACCAGCATTTTAATCGGGATCTCGTCGGAGAAGATAAACGACGTTAAACTGATGTCGAGACACGACGGAAAAAAAGAGGAACGAGTACGAACACCGGAGAGAATGCTCGACGAACGTTGCCAGAGATCGCGATGAAATATCAAACCGTGACGGTTCTCCGCGGTTATTCGAGCCGCTTCGTTTTCCCGTTCTTTTAATGAAAATTACACGGAATATTTGCTCGAACGAATAATCGCGGAATCTGAATGTGATTTCTATGGTACTTGCAGGATACGCTAAAACTGCTGTTTCGCAGGATGAACGCGATATTAGCGCTCGTCGTTCTCGCGGGAATCTGCGCGGCCGCGCCCCAATATTATCTTCCCTCTGGTCTCCTGTACCAGCATCCTGCCAATTTGTTAACTTCGGCGATAGAGGATACGCTGCCGAACGAACTGCGGAACGGTTTTTACAAAAATCCCAGGATCGCGGCGCGACTCGCTCAGGAATCGTGGTACCTTAATAAAGAGATGCAGGTAAAGTTGATTCTGTGGAGACTACTGTACCGTTAACCCTTTGCGCTCGAGAGGCGATCTGCAACATTTGCCAGACGATTTGATAGAGCAACATTAGAAACTTCGGTATTTACCGTTACCCTCTGTATGCTGCATCGATACGCGATACATTGAAAGGAAATAGCTTTAGTTCCCTGATTCGTATGTGATTTCTTAATAAATTCATTCCAAAGTATCTCGTCTACGTCTGATTAGAACGTATCGGATATTTCAAGCGAGAATCTCTCGAGTGCGAAGGGTTAAAGGTACACGCTCGCTTACGTACTGTCGATGAGAACAATGCGACGGTCCAGTGTTCTTGCCATTTCAAACAAGTATACCAGAGTATGTACAAAGATAGCTTCTGTGAGCGGAAACCGGCCAGATCGATTCACGATCGATCATCCCTCCTGAACCATTGCATCGCGCGTTTCTTCCACCGACAGCACGTACACACGAACGAGGAGCGGATCGTTGACAGAGTATTATCTGTTCCGTCCATGTTGCAGGTGATCGATCGCGAAACGGATAAAATTCCACGCGAGAAAATCTACAGCGTCCTCCGTAACGCGGGCCTCGTGTGAAATCGGATATCGTAATGATAAGAGAAAAGAGAAACAAGGGGGAAACGGAACGAATAAGAAAACTATCGATGGATTCGACGATCTCGTTGCGCTTGCTCGGCGACCCACCCATTCGTCGTTCCTTCAACGTTGCGTAGCGTACGCGACAATGAACGAACCAGATTCCCGTAATTTATTTGCTATTTATTAGTTTTTTTTATTGCGCCGTCCATTACAATAGTGTTCTGCGTTTACACCGCGGTAGAAACGTAGACGTGAAAGTATGAAAAATCGAATAAAAATCGAATAAAAAGCTTTGATGGAGAAATGCAGTCGAATAATACGCGTTGGTTTTAGCGAAAGGTCGGTTAAACGAGCTCAAGTTGATTTACCTGTTTATCCAAATTCAAGTGTAATCGCACCTTTCGAGTAGAATATATCGGATGCCCGAGGGCACACGCCATACCAGACAGACGCGCCGCGCACTCATTGGATACACTCACGCACACTCTCCAGGGATTATATACAATCGTTCGTGAACATCTGTATCTTCTCGTTACAATAATCTTGTACGTATTGTACATACATTATTATTCGCACATTATATATATATATAATACATCGTGTATCTATAAGATAAAAAATTGATCGATTAAAAATTGTACAAAAATTTATCCCCTCATGTTATTCGCGTGCAGAGTTCTGGCTACTTGGACTGCTCGAACGGTTCCAAAAACATATCCACGATGGAGACGTACTCGCCCATCACGTAGCGCGATCTCTTCGGAATGCACCGAACCGCATCCGAATGTAAAATACCATGTATGTTTTCCAAATAACAATCTATTCGATTCGCATACAACACTCCGTTGCTCTCGTAGCGCAACAGTTCAGGATTGTAACTTTCAATCAGGCGATTCAAGTATCTCGCTATATTTACTTCTCCCATTATTTCTCGCATTCCTGGTAATCGCATTATCGGATCAATTCCAATTTCCTTCCAGATCACTGTCAGATGAATTTCAATGTCCGTGTTTTCGTTGTTGTATTCCGAACAGAAACTCGATAAATCCTTTGGGAAACGTTCAACAGTCGAGTGTACGTATGTCGCTACGAAGATCTTAATATACGCTTTGATGATACGGAAGAATGCTTTCAAGAATTTCATCGGATGTTTCGGATCGCAGAATATCACGAGCTTTTGTTTCTCGAATTTCCCTGTACATTTCAGTGTACAATATTCCCCTTGGTTCTTCTGCAATTCTTCCACGGCGAATTTCTGTTCTTTCACTCGATCTTCGGACCTTTTCTTTTGAAAAGAAACTTTACTGATTCTACAAACAAGGTTTGGTTAGGTCTGCCGAACAATCATCTTTACCGATATCCTTTTTTATAACTTCGTTAGAGAATTTATCAATCGAACGTAGAAACTTTTACCTTATACGAATACATTAAACTAAATAAATACCTTGATATAAATACCTTAATAACGTTAGAAAGATATTTACTTGTTTAGACGGCAAATAGGATTGTTATAAACCATTTGCATATCCACTTTTGGCCCAACTAAATCTCGTATATTATTTATTCCGTATTTAATCATAGTCGGCCTGTGAACAATATCAACTTCAGGTTCCTTTCTTACGGAAAACATCAGGATGTAATGATTATTCAGCTCGTTTACCTTTCTAAAGATAATCCCCAAGCAATTACATTCACATCATTCGGTAAACCCATCGGTAACAGCATTTCTGGTCTGAACATTCCACTGTTACCAATTTCTATCCATTTCTTCAGACCGTTATGGTAACAGAAAATTTCCATACTTGGCTCGGTGTATGGGTTATACGCTGGTTTAAACTCAAGCTGCGTAATACCGAGTTTCTTAAAAAATTCATACAATATTCCTATCAAGTCACCTAACGTCAGATTATAATCGGCAACTACACCTTCGATCTGATGAAATTCCGCGAGATGCGTAGCATCCAATGTTTCATTACGAAATACTCTATCGATACTAAAGTATTTCACTGGTTTAAATTCGCCCTAAAATTTATTTGTACAGTACTGAATTTATTAAAATCCCTGGAAAACACAGACTATGCATTTTCAATTACCTGCTCCATTAATTTGTAGAGCATCCTAGCGCTAACAGCGGTTGTATGAGTTCGAAGAACATTTTTCTTTGCTTCTTCTATTTTCCAATCGTAACGGTACCCTAAAGATCCGTATCCTCCTTCACTGTGAACTTTCTTTACCTTTTCTAAATAATCCTTTGGGAAGTTTCCGCTATGAGATGGATCTAAAATGAAACATTCAAACTTGATTACTCTTACACAAGACATCGATCTATACAAACATATTTATGGAAATACCAGATATGAAAAAGGTGTCATGACTATCTCTAGCTGGATGTTGCTGAGGTTGAAACAGAGCATCGAAATTCCAAAAAGAACTCTCCACAAAATTATTTGTTGGCATTTCCGTGAATCTAAACAAGTGAAAAATATAATATTTTTAGCAAAAAACATCTCGAAGAATCTATTTATTTTCTTGAATTACATACCCCATTTCAAGGAAGATTTTCCTAAATTCACTCCTAACTTTTAACAGGGGATGCAAGTGGCCTACATCAAGAGTGGAACCCATTGCCGAAAAATTGTATGGTTTGAATTTTTTCGTTTTCCAAGCACCATTCACTAACAAGTCCGCAGTCAATTCTGTTTCTAATTTCTCAAGTTTTGTTGTAAAGTTTGGACCTTTCCCCAATAGTACAGACTTGATAATTCTATTGGTAAAAAAGTTATTTATACGCATACTTGTTGTTACATTTTGATATACAATTAGAGAATGATGTAATTCATTTAGAAAATTGGTAATACAAAACAACCTACACTTCTTGAATTAGTTTTCTTTTCTTATAGTCACTTTTCAGACGATCAGTCATATTTGCTATATCTTTTAAATGATTTTGCGTCATGTCTACAATAGATTGTACTTTCTTTTTTATAATAGGTGTACCACTGCTTCTGTCAATGTCTATCCAGCCAGCCAACAGAGCTTTTGAAAGTCCAACTTTTGCGAATGGGACTTTTTGCATAATTTCAGATTGAGGCATTCCATCATCGGGGATGATGTTATACACTGCTGCTTCGTGGCTTCCATAACTTACCACGTGCTGTCCTTCCGATGTTAACTCCCACTTTCTCTCGCTTACTTGTTTCGTTGTAATTAACTGAAAAGTCAATTATGAATGAACAACATTAATTTTCCAACAGCATTTAACTTTTAGGGTTATGATGACGTTTAAACTTTTCTGTACACGTTAACGGCGTAGGAGAATTCGTTAAAAATATATTTTCAAACAAAATAACAGCTTTGGGCAAAGGTTTTTTACTTGTCAATTACTATAGCTTAGATAACTTTACAAAACTCAACGTGTCAAACTTACATCACCGATCGCTTCCAGACTTTTGATCGCTCCAATTATTTTTTGATGATTTTCTTTAAAAATATCTGCGAGAACCAAAGAATTCACTTCTCCGTGTTGCTCCAAATAATCTAAAATTTGATCATTCAATTGTTTTGCCATTTTTTCAATAAAATTACCGCGCCAAAGCAGAACCGGTAAACAAACACGTGAGCCAACTGAGAACTGGAATGCTATGAGAACAGACGATCCTTTCAAAATTAAAAATAAATGTAAAAAATAAAACTTTTCTATTTGTACTTTCAATCATTTAAAAACGACAGTATATTTAACTTACATATAAATCAAATACAATAATTCAATACCTACTTGTATGTATCTACTCTACATGCAACCATACATGCATGTTCTTATAGATGCCCCAATGTGTAATGTCTGTACCTCCTATTTCTTCTAATTCATAATTTAAATAATAATATTACAAACTTCCACAAATTAAACAGTTTAATCATTCATTTCATAACATCCTTTCTGATTAGATGTTTCAAAGGTATTAGGGAAAAGTATTTTATAATAACTCTATTAACTTTTAAATATTTTATTTGTAAGAGTACAAATTATTTAAGTGGAATAAATCTTGAAGAATGCGTGGCACCAATACCAGGTCTACCGTGTTTTACAGGTTTGTAAGTAACAGAGAACTCTCCCAAGTAATGGCCAATCATTTCCGGCTTGATTTCTACCTGATTGAATGTTTTGCCATTGTAAACCCCAACAATAGAGCCAACCATTTCAGGTACAATGATCATGTTACGCAAATGAGTCTTGACAATTTCTGGTTTTTCATTTGGTGGTGTCTCCTTCTTAGCTTTTCGCAGCTTCTTCACAAGAGCCATAGACTTGCGTTTCAAACCATGAGAGAACCGCCTTCTGGCACGAGCATGCATCAAAACCATGAGCTGCTCACTGAAATAAATATTTATAGTTGTAATATCCAATTACTGAAAGGTTCATTTTATAACTGTTACGATAGCAGTGTCTACAGTGCGAAGAACAAATGTTCCATTTGTTTGACAATTATGCAACTGATAATCTGCATCAATTTGAATTTCACTGAAACATAATACTCACTTTGGCATGTCCAGGAGTTGATCGAGATCAACTCCACGGAAGGTGAACTTCCGGAAAGTCCTCTTCTTCTTCTGAGTTTCTTCTTGCTGAAATTCATACATGATAGAATCAAAAAAGGGTTATGGGTTATAAACGAAAACAAAGTTTCTTCGTATACGATAATATCGCTTGGTTCAATTGCGGAAGGAATATACAAATAATTTTAATGTGCTCGTTTAAAGTTTTCATGATGGATGAAAAAGATTTTATTCGATATTTCAAACGCATCTATGACACGTACCTCGGCCATGTTTTCAGGTGTCGGGATAAACGACAATAAGAAACGGTCTTCGTCTTTTCTGGCGGAAATCAACTCAAGCACTAACTATACAAGTATCGCTAGATGCGACACCAATATGTTATTTTCTTTACTAAACTTGTGAATGATACAAAATCTGAATTTCATTTAAACAAGAAACACTTTCTATGAAAACATAAGCAATCGGATGAAAGATATGTAAAAAACAATTCTTTTAGCATATATTTACTCAGTATTGATAAAAAAGAATGAACTCATCAACATCGCTATTCGCATTTTGCTAACCATATCCTTCCCCGTAATCAACTATTCGTCAATCACAAAAATCAGTTAATTATTTTTTCAATACTTTTAAATATTCTACTTAGTGAATAATAAGTACCAAAGTAGGTAGATACACAAGTAAATTGACAGGTAGGTAAGTACCTGTAGGTAATATCATATTTTAGTTTGAACGAGAAACAACCAGGGTGGCGCTGTCTCGATCCCTTTTAGCGGGGAAGCTTTCTTTAAGCACGTTCTTATTAGGCTCGATCGACAGCCAAGAAAATTAAGAAACTGTTGAACAGCATCTGTATAAGAAAATAGTGTTAAGCATTTCACACGTTGTAAAGTGAAATATGAAATACATATTAGTAACCGGTGGTGTGATTAGTGGCGTTGGCAAAGGTGTTATTGCCAGTTCGTTTGGGACATTACTTAAACATTGCGGCATTCGTGTGACGTCTATCAAAATTGATCCTTACATAAATATAGACGCTGGTACATTTTCTCCATATGAACATGGTATGGCATTGAATTTTATTCTAACAAAATCAAGCGTTTCACTAATTTTTATCGTAAGTTTAGAGATTTCCTATAGCCATGCGGTGTCAGAAGCCATTTTACAGGTTGCTGCCTAACGCGCTCTTTTGGAATCACGTGTTCCCCCTCTTTCCCACCTCTATGTAAAAAATTTTAAACATAACAAAATTGTAATTATTTAGTTTCTGTATTATGTACGACTTATTAACGTTCTTTGTAATTAATTAATCGATGAATTTGTTATTAGAAATTAATTATTTATCATTTATATGAAATTTTCATGTCGGGATTACCGTTTAACGTTTAAACGTTTTGTTTGTTCGTTAATTAGAAAAATGTTCTTTTCTGTTTTCACTTCATCACTGTGTGTTCCCTTGGTGCGTTGATACTAATACTCCTTGCTTTCTTTAGGTGAAGTGTATGTCCTGGACGATGGAGGAGAAGTTGATTTAGATTTAGGAAACTATGAACGTTTCTTGGACATTACTTTGCACAGAGACAACAATATAACTACTGGAAAGATCTATCAGCATGTGATTTCAAAAGAGAGACAGGGTGATTACCTGGGAAAAACTGTACAAGGTATGAATAATAGAATCGGTGATAATATACTCATTATAAAATGTATATAAAACACTGATCATTTCATTTTGGATTTAGTGATACCTCATATAACAAATGCTGTCCAAGAATGGGTTGAAAGAGTAGCAAATCAGTCTGTATCCCAAGATGGTGATATACCTGATGTAATATTATATTTATGTTACTAATTGTAAAGCTAAATTCTATACGTGTAAACTCCTTCTAATAGTTCATAAATTAATATATATTTTGTTTGTCATAGGTTTGTATTGTCGAGTTAGGAGGTACAATAGGAGACATTGAAGGAATGCCTTTTGTTGAAGCTTTCAGGCAGTTCCAATTTAGAGTGAAGAAAGAGAATTTTTGTTGTGCACATGTGTCTTTAGTGCCACAAGTATGGAGCTATTTTTATTTAAATAATTCTCCTTCATTGTTATAGATCTTGACTTTGAACTTGAGCCAACTACTGAGTTGATTTATTCTTAGATCTCAAAATTACGTATAGCGAGGGACAAACATATTTGCGTACAACGAATGTGGAAGCAAAAACGGGTTTATTTCCTATAACTAGCAACACATTTTTAAATATCGAGCGAAGGTATACGCCAATTATAAAGCACAATAAATACATAGGAACAATAGTTATTGTTCCGTTTTACTTTTATTATAGTTTTGTTCCTCGCTGTACCTCGAAGTTGAAAAGAAAATAGAAAATTTCAAAAGTATACTATTTCCAGCCACGGACTACAGGAGAACCAAAAACAAAACCAACGCAGTCCAGTGTAAGAGAATTACGTGGATTGGGTCTGTCTCCTGATCTTATAGTTTGTAGATCCGAGAAACCTATAGGTGATTCGGTGAAAGAGAAAATTTCAAATTTCTGTCACGTTGCTCCAGAACAAGTAAAACATCCGTCATTCATGTATTTTTACATTAATTCGAATGTCGATTAAAAATACCAATGTAATGTTCATCTTTCTCAGGTTATAACTATACACGATTTATCATCTATATACCGTGTACCATTGTTGCTGGAATCTCAAGGTGTTATTGAATTTTTGAATGACAGACTACAGTTAAATATTGGTGTACCACGTCCGCGCTGTTTCATGCGTACATGGAGGGAATTGGCTGATCGAGTCGATCATTTGCGAAAGGAAGTAAATATTGCATTGGTGGGGAAGTACACCAAATTAGAAGACTCTTATACTTCTGTTACGAAAGCGTTGCAACACGCGTGCATTCAAGTTGGCTATAAACTCAACTTAACAGTAAAGTATTAATATTACTATTCATTATTTTTAAGTAATATTAATTATAATAGTAACAATGAATCTACATTACAACATACTGTTATTGTATGTTAGTATATAGAAGCTGATAATTTAGAACAAAAGAAAAAGTTAGCTGACCCTGTACTCTATTATGAAGCTTGGCAACAACTTTGCAAAAGCAAGTGAGTTTCCATATCGTTACATTACATATTTAAATATACGCAAATAACTGCTTCAAGATTTCTTAAATTATTTTGTATTATATTCAGTGGTATCATAGTGCCAGGAGGCTTCGGTAAAAGAGGAATGTTAGGAAAGATGGAGGCATGTAAATGGTGTAGAGTAAATGATAAGCCATTCCTTGGTATTTGCCTGGGCTTACAAGTGGCTGTTATTGAATTTGCTAGAAATGTTTTGAATTTACCGACTGCGAATAGTACGGAAATTGATCCAGATACACCTCAACCTGTTGTTATTGATATGCCAGAATATAATCCAGGTCAAATGGGAGGAACCATGAGAGTTGGAAAAAGAATTACTCAATTCACGGAACGTAATTCTATCATAAGTTAGTACGAGAATGTTTACAAAATATGTCGTATTTCTACGTTTTGTTGATAAACAATTCTATTATTGTTGTTGTTATTAATCATTACTATCATTAATTTAGAGCAACTGTATGGGAATAAAGATTATATAGAGGAGAGGCACAGGCATAGGTATGAAATTAATCCAGCGTGTATCAAGAGCCTGGAAGAAGCTGGACTACATTTCGTAGGTAAATAATGTAACATTAATTCCCAAGTATTTATGGACTCGTTTGGAAGTTTATTTTGAAATAATATACTAATATCTTATTATCAGGACACGATGTAAACAATGAACGTATGGAAATAGCAGAGTTGGAAGGGCACACTTATTACGTGGCCACACAGTTTCATCCAGAATACTTGTCTAGGCCTTTAAAGCCTTCACCTCCATTCTTAGGATTAATTTTAGCAAGCATCGGTAAATTAAAGCACTACTTAGCCAGAGGTTGCAGACTTTCACCAAATCAAATTAGCGATACCGAGTCAGGTAATGAGTCAATATAGTCGGAGTGTACTGCATTATAATTGTTAGAATTTAAGTAGTATTTTACGCTTTTAATAGACAATGAATATATGATCGATCCAACAACAATACAACAACATCTAATCAGCGATGCTAGTAGGAGTGGTAGTACTACATCCAGTACTAATGATTAAGTCTCTTAATCTAAGTTGGCAGGAAAAATATTTTTAATGACAAAATACTATTCCTACGTACATATATATCAGATTAATTAAAGTTTGTTAGAAAAAAGCGTAGGAAACATATTGGTGTACGGTATCAAAACTACAATATACTACGAATTTTTACTGTATTAGTATACTGTGTACAAGTATACTGAAAGATAGAAGCAAAGCAGATCAGGTAACAATGAGAACTTCCACGGCACAGTTTTATACCGGTCTATTTAAATATTCAAATGTCTCGAATTTTTATTAGACATGTAGCGAGTTCTACTTTTATAGAAATAAAAAGTAGTGACGAATGGTTCGACGAATACATGTGCAACAATTGTATTTCAATGATGATTATTTTGTTTCTGTTTGTAACGGGACACCGTTATTTATATGTTGAATTTTATTCATTGAATACGAATTACGTGTTTGTCTTGTAATTACTGTATGTTCTTTATAATATTTTCAAATATACATACACTTTATAGTTTCAGTAAAAAAATTGTTATTCTATATACATACGCATTTTTCATTGTATCGGTTAGTACATTTTAAACAATATCTCGCGATTAGATCTAAAAGTTTTTACATTTTAAGTCGAAATATATGTTACTTTTATGTTTTTGAAAACCATGCTTTTCTGTCGTTTTTAGCATTTTTCTAATTTATAATAAAATATAAGATTAATGTATCTTTCGATGCATTTATAGTAATTTAAGTTGTTATTATTATGATATAATCGTATCGATTTTTTTCTTTATTGAGCAGCACATGCGTTCTGCCGAGTACAGTATATAAAGTATACACTAGCTTATTACAATAAAACTTCTTCGTATAAAAATGATATATATGCATATACGTGTGTGTATATAATATATACATACATTCTTATTGTTACACGCACAATAAACAATTGGTCATGTTAGATTAAAGTTAAATTACAGTAGCGAACTCGGATCATTACAAATCAAAGAAAATAAAATATCTGTAACGTGTATAATAAAACAAACAAATAAATATAAAAAAAGAAAAATAATTAAAATGCACTTTGGACGGTAAGCATTACAAATAATACTGAAAACATTTTTCGTAAAAAGAAAAGCTAAATATTTTACATGTAACGAAAAACTATTGATAATATTATTGACTTCTATATGTACAAATTTTTATTTCGCTGAAAAAATCTATTGAAAGTTTGAACATGAAAAATAGACACTCGTATTTCACGAAAATATGTTATCAGATTGATTAGTTACTAATAATTTGACAATGAATAGTAATTATAATAAAGGTACTTGACACGCTAAGGTAAAAAAGAAATAACTAATCTCTCTTCGTACGGGGATAAACGTAAAGTTCATGAATATCTAACATACATCGGCCCCGATGTTCAATGGAAATTACAAAAGTACATACAATAATAAATACTTACGCACCTCACAGTCTAAGGTAACAATAATTTGAAATTACAAATGAATCGTACTACTTAGCGTTCCGTTATTTACTACTAGCGATGCGTTACTTTAACCTACGAGTAATGAAGTAAACTTAGTTACCAAAAATAATACAATCGTGTAATGAGAAGTTTCTATCGTAAAAAAATAAAATATCAAAAGAAATTATATCTTTTCGTTCTACTATGTAATATTTTCATATACCTATTTCTTAATATTAAATTTCAAATGTAATAATCAGCCAAATATCAAGTAAATACAAATTAGTGTTTCAAATATTCAATGGTTCATCTTTCGAACAAACTTTATTAGCTTTGTACCAATTTGCTTTCTTTCTTTATAAGACATTTGAATGTAATTTCCCTTATATTCGACGTGTATCGGTTACGCTTCCCAGTCTCTGTGTAGATTTCCTCTACGGGGCATTTTCTCTCTTATACTCACATATTATTCAGATGGAACAGTGGAAACGTACATGGCTCCGTATTAGTCTGCGAAATTCTCCATATGACACTTCAAAGTGCACTTATTGTAAGCATATCTTTACCTATCTCAATATATCCTAAAATCCATACGGTAATAGTAGAATTTTATATTTTTAGATTTAAATGAACCATTCCTTTTTCTTTTGAACTTGATGGCCTGTGGTCGAATGGACGACAGCTGAGTCTGGGTCTAATGCTATTTCAGCACCTTTATCCTCTTGCGTCAAATATTCACCTTTATGTCTCGACATGTATCTCCCTATAAGTACTGCCATTATTACTAAGGCTATGATAATAATAGCTAACACGCTGCCCAAAATAGCCGTGTCAGTTTCGTTGTACGCAGCTCGAACTTTTTCTTCGTCCACCTGCGGAGGTGGCCGCGTTTCGACGATGTCCGGCGGATGCGTGATCGGCTCGACGCCGCAGAAGTCCTCTGTAAGAGGTGTGCCGAAAGTACGGATGTTCGCGGGTCCATCCTCTTGGAACAGTAACTTCAGGGGGTATATGTCATCGAATTCAACCCTGGATATGCATCCCGCGAATCCCTCTGTCATGCTCTCGTTTCTTCCAATGTACATGTATTGAATATTATTAAATTGAGCATCCGCGGACGTTTTGATATTGAAATGAAATTCTTTCGGTTCGTAGTTGTCCACTTGCAGGACAAGAGTAGATCCTGAATTCTTTCTACCCACTCTGACGTCGTGGTACTGTCCTAGGCCGAAATACTTGTTGGGGAATATAACCTCTTGTCGTTCAAACCCGAAATCGAAAACCACGCGCAAGTGTCCGCTGTTCGAAACCATGATCGTCATGTACTCTCCCGAGATGTTTGAGAACAGACCGAGTAAGAAACCTCTGGGATTCGTCGTGGTGAAACCAACCCTGATCTTCTCGGAAATCGTCGAGCGCCAGCTGCCCATAAAGTCGTACTTTATCATTGAACTGGGCCGCATGTTCACGCCGATTTCTGTCATGAAATTAATTCATCTCGAATGAGTACAAAATCATACAAATTATTGGATCGTAAGGAGAGTGAATAACATACCGTCTGCGCAAATAGGACCCTTGAATGCGGTCCAACGACAATCACAGGAGTATCCATCGTATCTTTCATGGCACGTACCATTGTTCAGGCACGGATTACTTTCACATTTACCCATGCAACCTTCGGAAACACCGTACAGGCCTTGTCGAGCGAAACTTCTGAGATCTTGCAGCTGACCGTTCAACAGAAGCGCTCTGATACACCCCACGTAGCCGTCCCTGTAATCCGTTGTAGCCCCGACTACGAGATCCGACGTCAGATGAAGTGCCCGTACCGGTCCCGGAGGTTCTCTCACTTCATTCTTTAATGCTCCGTCAACTACGATTCTGGCTTCTTTCCGATTCCTTTCCACCGACACGGAATGCCACCGATTATCGGCTAATCTGTAAGAGGTCTGGACGCTGACGGTAAGCGGACCGCTACCTGCCAAATACTGGAATTGAATCTGATTTCCACTGTTTATGGAGATTTTTATGTAATCCGTAGGCCCCTTGCTGTGAATTATAACTGCATCGTCGATCGTTGTTTTGAACTCGAAAAAGATATCACCGCTGTGGCCGATATCGAACGTTGGCAGATTGATCGTAGCGTCGACGACACGGAACGTTACTACGTTCTTGAACAAATCTACAAGGAAACAAAACGATTACGTTACATCGGAGCGAAAAGTGTTACCAGCTAGGATAATATTCTGTCAGGATACAAAATATTCAACCACAAGGAACAAGTGTACAAGGAAAATATAGAAGAGTAACTACGAATTTTTGGGTGTAAATCTGAAATATTTCAATATACTGGAATAAAATATTCTGCTAATTACTATTATATTACAACAACTAATGTGTGTACCAAAATCTGATATACATTTTTCGCGTATAAATATCCATGGCTACATTATGAAAGTTGTGTATCTTACCTGATCTTACCTTGGTGGTCAACCAAGGTAATTCAGAACCTTATAAAGAATTCAAAAGAAATTAAATTTCCTTGTTCACATGCATGGAAAATTGAGAAAAACTTCTACACTTACCGTCACCTTCGCAGATAAGCGGACCAAGCGTGTAACGTCCTTCTTTTTCATCCACGGGTGTTCCGGTGTCACCGAATCGTAACTGTTTAACAGGAAGGTACTCTTTCTCGGTAATGTCACCGCTATCTTCGAGAGGGCCGTCTAAATCGGAGTCGCAGTTGCACCATTTCGTCGGGTCCGCGCAATTCCCAAGGATACCGCATTCGCATTTCCGCGATCCTGGTAGAGCTCCACCCCAATAGTCCATCTTTTGGTTGTTTCTGCTGACCCACCATGAGTTTGGTCGGAAATAATCCCCTTGCGACACTGAAATAATACAAATATTTATCGTACAGTTTCATTGGAAATGATCGATCTTTACCACGTTTGAAGTAATCACCTGGTGAATTGAACAACTTCGAACGTATACATTCGTAACTGATTCTTTGTCTACAACTCGTGGACCGATTCAGGAGTGCTCCGATTTGATCCATATCTGCGTCGTAAATAATGTCTTGCACGAAACTGCCTGGTTCTTGGTATCCATCCACAGGCGTCATTCGTTCACTGTTGTGCCTTACGATAGTTCTCACGCGTCCATCCGTGTAGAATTCACAGACCACAGGGAACGGTTTCAGAGGACCGCTTCCATCTACGTCTATTTTAATGTCTGCTCGTTGATTCACCGAATTGATGTTTTTGTACGCTTCGCAAGATAGCGGATTTAATGCTGCGAAAATACGGAAATATCAAGTAGAAGCAAACAATATTAAAAACCGAATGTACCGCTTCGATAGACGATTAATATTAACTTACAGGTATGACACACCGCTCCCGTATAACCTGTATTGGCACAATCACAGAAGAATTCATCAGAATTTTGACGACAAACACCAGAATGTTTACACGGATTTGGATTACAACGATCCATCATTTGACACGCATCGAAAACAACTTCGTTTTTGCAACAGTATTCCTCCTCCTTCCAATCGGTTGGCAGCTTATAATTCCCATCGATGCTTATCATTCTCATGCAACCAACAAAACCGCGGTTACTTTCTATTCCAGTTACACCGCCTATCAAGTACACCGGTCCTGTTATCATCTCTAATATACGTTTGGTTCTCATCGGGGTCCCATCGACATTTAAAATCAGACTATTCTTGGATATTGTCAAGATCACTTGATGCCATTTACCATCGTTGAACGTTTCACGGAAATTATCTAAAACTACTTGCGGACTTTCTTTCGTTTGTATATCAACCTTCAATTTCCCATCTTCCAAGTACAGCTATAGAGAACAGGCAGAAACATTAATACGCTTTAGGAATAAATGTTTCGCGTGTTTGCACGAAAAGAATTCATATTTGCGAACCTTTACAAAACCTGGCGATGTAAACTGATGATACAAAATTATTCCCTTGTCTTCGTATGTTCGAAATGTTATAGAAACATTCAAGGAAGATATCCCCTCGTATCCTTTGAGTCTAGCGTATGATCCCTGAGTTAAAAATGTAACAGGAATTATGGGCGGTTCTGGACAGCTATACAGTGTATTTACTCTGTAATATCTTAAATTTTCTCCAGTGATTTCTGTTTCCCTCAAGTCATGAATAATACTTGTGGCATTCAGGTAAAAGTTTTCTATACACCCTGTAAAATTCTGATTGACCACTAATCCTTCTTGCTTGTTCGGAACGCCACCAATGTAAAGCTAGAAAATTTTTGTTTCACTATAATGAACATTCTCAAATTCAATCAAGTCAGAAATATTATCAGATATCTTGAAAAATACTTACCGCCCTATTTAAATCTAGCCTATAAAACTCTCCTTTCACCCTTCCCTTAATTAATACTCTATCTACAGAGAATGATATATTTTTTCTATTACGCGATATCAAAACATCATGCCACATATTGTCATCCAATAGACTGCCAACAGATAAACTTGTCATAATACCAGATCCAAGATCAATATTTAATATCATTCTATTGTCTTTTAATTGTAAAGCTATATAATCTCCTTGTGTCCCACGGGAGTACATTAAAACACCGTCGGCATTATTCGTTTTGAATCGGAAACGTATAAAATGTCTGTCAGTTTCTATTGGTTCCCTTAATAAATCATATCGCAATAAGGACGAACCGTTGAAGGAAAGGACATCGGACACTGTAACACCAAAAATGAAATTAATGATATTATAATTTATCGTTTTACATATCGATAACCATTCAACTCTTACCATAGTTACATCCGTACAATTCCAATCTCAGTGATATTCTGTCCCTCCATCGGGTTGGATTTATTCTAATCCATTGCGCTATAATCGGTACCTCAAATTTATTAAGTTTTATTGTGTCCCCATCCACATTTCCCTTGAACATCTAGCGAGAAAAACAAATTAAACAGATGTCCTTTTCTAAGCAAGTGAAAGTATTGTATAATAATTCACAAAACATAAATAAAAACTTTCTCAAAGTATGGGCCAATAAAGGCTTAAGTTTATATTACCGAGGTTTGTACATATGGTTAGTTACATGAATTAGATGTAAATGCAATATTAATAGTACTTGAGATCTTTATCAGTAGAAACAAGTGAAAGTGAATTTAAAATGATCGAATAAGTAGATATGTCAGCATGCTTTTTTGTGGATGTGTTAGTACGGCATCATCAGTCATGGATGCAAAGCACAGATGCAAATATAAATATTTCATTAAAAATATTACATTATGTAAAAAAGTAAGTTATCACTGTATTTCCCTGAACATTAAAATAGTATAAAGAAATACATAAAGTTTTTCTTTTTTACTCTTGTTTCGTTTAGAAAACATTAATTACAACATGAATATTTTCTGCAAATCTGATAAGAAATTGTAAGGAAATATGAAGGCAACAGTATAATTCACTTTATGCCTCCACCAATTGAAGAAATCGAATGCTTCCACCATGTAAGGTACCTCTTTGAGTCATTACACGCTTGACAAAAGACATGTTCCTGTCGTTTAAAAGAATAGAAATGTTGGAAAGTCAGATAAGGTCACAGTCCCATTCTATATATGTACATCGTAGAAAACACATTACGCAACTACAATATTATTGTACATGTATTATATTTCAAAAAGATTTCTTAGAGAAGTTCTACGTTTTCTTATAATCAGTATCTCTATTAGTACCTCATCTACACCATCCTGACTTTCATAACTGGCCCAGGCTTGCCCATCATCAGAGTATTGGACAATGTACTCTGTCACATACTCATTAGTATGAGCACGACCTCGTGTGGCAATGCTGCGTATCTCATATCTGTCCCCCAGTTCCACAGTAAGATGTTGATCATAACTGCTAAGCTCTGGTGACCACGTAGAACCTCCTGCAAAGCCCAGCCCCATGTCCATGTGTAAAAGAAAAGAGTAGAAGCAAAGCGGATAAAAGTAGAAAGAAGAAAGTGTTGCTAGTAGTTCAATGATTGTAGCGACTGTATCGTATTTTAGCGAATGAACTTCAAAGATTTGCAGTACACGTACAATGGCAGTTGTATCTGTCATTGTAACTATGTTACAGTATAAACAAATCGATTGAATATAATTGTAATATGTGCACCATATTATAAATCTGAATGCTATATAGCCATTCCTATGAATAAAATACCATTCTAAACATGTAACTTTGTACAGAACATGCAACCGGTACCTACCTAAGAATCCAGCAGACAGTGTATGGTTCTAGGAAAAGTAATTCATTCTTTTTCTCAGACCAAGATGCTTAACTCTACATAGTAAGCGTTAAACTTGAATTACTACTGTTAAAGAAGTACAGTGCAGTAAGTATTTATTAGTACCTAAGTGAGAATATTAAGTAACATGTACCTTTCCAATTAAAATCCCCTCCATGGATTATGGCTACATTAGCACAGACACTGATTCAAAAGATGTAGAAGATCAGTTTACCTTAATGTTACCATCTTCTTCTTTGTAATCAACGTAGTCCAGGCCATTCGTACCATAACTGATACCATACTCCATAACATACTCATATTGAACTGGTCGTCCCTGGGTCGCCACAGCTGTGATGTTCATTACTTGACCCAGGTCGATAACAAGGTACTGACCAAAGTCTGAGCTGCTAGCCGTCCATGCGTTTCCGCCTACGCCACAACATATACGCATGCATGCAACTCAAAATGAACTTAAGAAAGCAATCATATTTAACAACATCTATCAGAGGATTAAGTACTACAACAATATATATGTATATTGCTATATTTATATATACATATCATATATAAATATCATATAAACAATATGAAATTAGTTCACAATAACATAATTTATAAGAAATTTATATTCCATTTCAAAATCAAGTTTCTACATAGAATTTGTAGTACTCGCATTAAATATAGTCACATTCAACGACTAATTGAATTAATAGGTCCTTTGGATACACTGTCAGAATTTTATTGCAACAGATTAAAGCAATAATTCTTAAAGAAGAAGTAAGAAAAGAAAAGCTGTAAGATTACACGTTATTTTTAAAGTGATCCTTTTCCCAAGCAAGAATGAGAAAGTACAACGCTATCAGGTACGTGTATTGTATAAAATTTGTAATCTCTGTTTCTTTTTTAAATATAAATTTTAATATTGATGTAAATGAATTTTTTAATATAAACAATTAATTCAAATTGTATGAAGTATTATATTAAGAGGTGAAATAAATTTGTACGAGTGTTTCTTATTAATTTATTATACCCACTGACTAAATTTATATAGTTGTATCTGTACATCTTTGTTACAACTGAAGAGAAATTGATAACCCATGGAAAAATATAATGATATAAGATAATTCGTATATCGAATTTTATAAAGTTATGGGTGTTCTTCTTTCTTAAAGTATTTTTCTGTATATTCTGTATCCACAGGAAGCAATGGAATGCTATTTACAAATAATTTATCGTTATTTATTATTTCAAAGACGGTATTTTGCGATTGGGGTGCTTTCCCATTTTCTTGTAATGCTACAGCAACGCAATGCTGTGCATCTAACAATGTTTCCTCGAATAACCATTCCTGTTTTATACCATTTTTATTCAAGATTGTATCAGTTGTAATGGAATTAAGTTTAAGTTTCGAATTTGTCTTAAAATCAATTGTTCTGAGGTCAATGGTAATACCTGTACCTGTGGCCTTTACATAACTTTCTTTTAAAGCCCAATGTCTACAAAACATTTCAATCTGCTCTGATTGATTTGTGGAGAAGCCTTTTATTTCATCCCATTCGGAACATGTAAAATTTCTATTCATTATACGAAAGAATTCAGCCAATTGTTTGCCACCGGTGTATTCAAGTTTCATTATATCTACACCTAATTGCATATTTCTTGTTTCACCTGCCAATACTGTATAATCACCTTGATGAGATACATTAAAACTTAAACCCAAAGTATCATTTTTCAAAATAGGTTTATTATTTTGATCCCTTGTAAATACTATTTTGTTATAAGGAATACTTCCATATTCGTTAACAAATTTTCTCATCAATAATCTACCTGCAAGCGAAGCCCTAACATCCTTACGAAACACGAATTTTCCTAATCTTTCTTTTTCTTCTAACTGTACACACGAAATTGCACGTGAAAATTCCTTTTCATTTGGATTCCATTCCTTCCATTTAAATGCCCATCGAATACTTGGAGCCATTTTTGACAAGTTAATTTTACGAAATAACTTAATATATTAATATGTTACTTTAATATTCCTAAAATTATCTCTTCCCGTCGATAAAACACTGCTTTCTTTAAAAGTTCTTGTCTTTAAAAAACCAGGCTAATCTTTAGCATCCACCTGAAGCAAATAGACAAGATAATGTTACTGAGAATTTAAAAAAAAAGAAGTATAAGTGTAGTTAAAAAAGAAACAAAAGATATTAAAATCATTGTCAGAATAAAAATATAGATGTACAGAATAACTGTACAATGAGTCAGTCGGTTTAATTCAGCTAATTCAGATCTAAAGTTCTTTTAATTGAGGCAGGCATGTGGGTGTTTATAAGATCATTACCTATTTGACACACTCTGCTTTTCTAAATATCATTCATTTCTCAATTTAGAAATACCAAGTAATACACTACCTGTGTGGTTATTAAACTTAATTTCAAATATAGATGTAGGAAAGCAATCTTAACGATAGATATAGATCATTGTTTCTTCAAACTATAATAATATATAGATGGCAAGCAACAAACTACCGATAGTGGAATGTTTCTATAATTTATGAAAATAAATAACATAAGAAATCTTATTAAATACATTTGTAGGAAAATGTGCAATTCCATTTATGAAAAATTCGAAGGAAAATTACCATTTAGTCTTGCATTGTATGGACCTCTTCCAGGCAATTGCGACGTAGCTCTCAAATGAGCTTTGTCCAAAAGTGGCTCGTTGCATTCATCATCTAATGAAAATAAATATTAAAATTACAAACACTGTTCATATAATGTAGGATTTAATACTGCAAAGATTACTCGTACGATAAATGTTTATTAATTCTCGGATATTGGCAAATACTTTTAGTATCTGAAAATTAGTGTTTTCATACGTGTCTCCCTATTATTAATTTGTACAAATTAAAAAGCAAATTTTACATGACAAACACGCAAACGCTACGAGGATTCCAGAGTTGTACAACACACCGAATGTGTGCTATTGTTGTACAAACGATAGAAATAATTAAAGAATTAATTTCTCCTTAATGCACACGTTAATTAGCAGCATCGGAAGTTTGATTTTATTCACTTATCGGTCGATGTGTTACATGTTACCCGACTACGCCATGTTGTAAAGTGGGCTTGGCTGTATTGAATCATCTTGAAAAATGTAGAACAACTTTCGTTGAAAAATTCGATTTTCGGTATCATTGACAAAACCATAGTACTTACATGCAAATATGAATGAATTACTTGCAATCGCGAACACAAACACAAAAAACCTTATAGTACTCATAGTATCATTGCCCTTTTAGAGAGCAACGCACGAGCAATGTACTCCTGAACGAGACGCGTCGTCAAACTGTTACTAAATTCTCACCAGTTATATTACTATACTATCCATACACACACACGCACACACACACTCACCAGAGGGACGTATCACACACGTGACGGTTGCATTCACTCTCGTTCATTTACGAATATAATTAGGTCTGTATATTTGCATTGACAATAATATTTTAAACTCGCATAGCTAAAATATCTTTCCATTAAAATATTCTTCAACTACAGAATTGTGAATTAAGATGCACCATATGCGAATAAAGTTCAATTTAATATCATGCCGAGCACACCATTGTCCACTCGAAGTATGTATGCAACTGTTAATCATCGATAAATACTTTTCATCGTTAATACATACAACGTTACTAATAAATTATCGCGAAAACATTGTAAGCAAATAAAGCTGAAAATTTCAAAAGGAAAGTGAACAAAGTTATTCATCTTATCGATCGATCCGTTAGGCTTCTTTTGGTACTAAACTGCATGCCGTCAGTCGATAAAGTCGAACAAATTAACCGAAGTGGGTAAAGTCGGGTTAGATATTCGAAATCTTTTCGGTTATTCCAGTCGATCGAATTGATTTTCATTTCACAGATTACTATAGATCCGAAAGTGACGTGTCCGTTATGAAGTTAAAGCGACAAGCGAATGCGCGCAAACGAACATGTGAGTATTTACCACACTCGAAGAATTACCATTCGCCTCATTGTTTCCTCGTAATAGGTTAATAAACGCATAATGAGCAACGAATCGAACAATGACGAAGAGATGGTCGACGATGCGAAAGAACAGAAGAAATTTCCTGTCGGAATAGAAGGGAAGAACGAGGACGATCGGTTTGAAAGTTCCACTTACCCCTACAACTTATTCGACGAAGAGGAAGATGAGGGTGCGTCGAAACTCGACAAGGAATGGGACGTCGACGGAGAAGAAAAATGTTGGTTGGACGTTATTGTTTTTCAATGAACTATCGATGAAAATTTCGAGGTACGATCATTCGGTTTTTCAGCCCTGTCCAGAGAGACGATCGATTGGGAGAAGGAGGCCAAGAGAACGGTGCAGCTCGACATCGAGCCAAGGCCAAGACGTAGAACCATCTACGAACTCGATTCGTACGGGGCTTCCGGTCCTTCGGCCGTCGACATCCTCAAACTGAATTCGATGGACACTGAACCGGAGCCACCGAAAGAATTTCGATACTCGACATCAATGGTGGATCTCTAAATCATCGTAGTAGATTTTCAAAGGACATTTTTTCTATTCACCTATCTCTTGATCTTTACTATCTTCACCGATATCGATTAGAAAACCGGAGGCACATTTAAAAGGGGCACGCGTGTAACAAGGCGCATATGTATCCCCAGGGTATGCCAGGAATAGCAAGGATAAATTTATCGGCGTTGACGCAAAAAGTGATCGGTTGCGTGATAGGAGAGAACGTTAGCACAGAGTACCCCTGGGTGTACGTCAGAAAGGAGATTATCGAAGACAACATAGATCTTCACGAAGAGAGCAGTGATTTCCTGCCGGTGAAAGAGGAAATTCGCGAGTTTCCGGACGAGAAGATACTTATCGGTTACGTGCCGTCGCTGACCGAAGAGGGTCAATTTTACATCTGTTTGACTCCCGAGGGGCAAGACGCTGTCACGGAGTACATCAGAAAGGAGAGGGAGGAGCACGAGAACCGCGTTAGGAACACGGTGTACAAACCATTGGGCCAATGGGAGGAACTCGGGAGTAGCGTTGAAGTCGAGACCACTATCGTCACCAAGACGAGACCGCTGTTAGAGATCGAGGTGTATAAGAATTTGCCTATTTCCGAAGCAGAACGGAACGGAACGAATGAATCTGTATTTCTTGATTAGTACGTATCTGCCGGTGACATGCTCAACGTACAATTGGATCTGGTGGACAGAGCAGCGGACGATCGGAAAGACGGATACATCGAACTCCTTCCCTATCGGCAGACCTTTGAAAATATTTCACGGAAATTGATGTACAATGCGTCCCAGGTAACACCGAACGTCCGGGACGTCGATGCTCAGACGATCGTCTCGACGGCCGCGAACTGCTGGAGTCAATACGGATACGAGTACGAGTCTCCGGACATTTCGTCCTTCACCGAGGAACAGTTGGATCAGTTCCGAAACTTTCTGCGTCGTTTCACGAACGAACTGTGCGACCAAGTCTGTGAACGTTAATGCTCTTTGAAATAGGACAATTCTATTTGAATGGAGAACAGGCAAAATGGTACACCTGTTTTTTCCTGTTTTCCGATATAACCGGCAGATTCTGTTGAACGCTATGTGGGACATTTACACGAACGATTACATGAATTTGGTGCGGGACGTAAGGGACACGCAATGGTCTGTCCCAGAAAGATACAAGGAACACTTGAGCTTTCACGACGGTACCCGTGTGGTAGAGAAGGTGATCAACGATCTTTCGTGGCATCCATTGTGGACCGGGGTTCTCTTCGCCGCGTACACGCGGTATTCCAAGAGTCATCGTCTAGTTGGCCCTAAATCATACGAGGATGTCAGTACACGTATTCTTCTATGAATATATATATATATATATATATATATATATATATATATATATATATATATATATATATATATATATATATATCCAAGGAGGAAATTACATTTGACTTGTTCGATCGATTTCCAACGTAGATATTGAAGACCGACGACGACAATTACGTCCTGGTGTGGTCGTTCAATGATACCTTAACGCCAAAATTGATTCTAGAATGCCCAAGGGAGGTGACTGCAGTCGCCACGAATCCATTGGACGCGAATCTGATCGTAGGTGGCTGCGGGAATGGGCAGATAAGTAAACGAAATACAGAGAATAAAGAGAAATAATAAGGAATTCGTAAATTTCTGGAATAATGGTACTTCGCTCTTATTCATCTGTCATTCATGCTGACCCTGCAGGTTGTAATTTGGCATATCCCCGGGAAAATCGAGCAGATCGAGACGGTGATCGTGCAGACTCCGGCTCAAGTGAAGTACAGGCTCGCTATAAGGAATCTGACCACGTGGCTGCGACAAGTATCCGCGACCCACGCAATTAAACCTACCGCGGTGTCCTCCTTGAAAGAAAGTCAAAAAGGCTCCATAACTCACATATCATGGCTCTCGTCTTACGATGCCGTCGATGAGAACGGCGCGATAAGATCGTTACCGGAGGATACTCCGATAGACGATTTAAGCGTTCAGTTCGTTACCTCGAGCGAAGACGGAACAATCGCGTTCTGGGATCTGAAGTGAGTTCAGAATTTTTCCAATTAGCACTTTATTCGTTTACTCGTCTAACCGGACATTATTTCTCGCAAGGCGACAGAAATTCGAGAAAGAAACGCAACGGATCACGAAGAGAAAGGGAACGATCAAGCGGCCCGAGACGTTGCGATCCGCATCGCCGTACAGACATCTCGATCGTATCTTCCGACCGCACTATTTACTGCTGGTCCATCATCCGAATGTCAGTCGTAGGGTGGCAATTTCCACTCTCAGCATCTTCGTGCCGCAATTCGAGAAGAAGCGAGTCGATCTCGCCCCACCCACGAGGGACATTACCATTAGAAGGTTCTTTAAAAACATAGTCGAGAAACCGGATTACGAAACGCTGCCGAGCATATTCGTTGGCACCGTTGAAGGTACGTAGATCGATCAACTGAATTCAATCGATTCGATTGACCCAACGAAATTCGGCCAACGACAGTCAAGGCTACGAGCGTAACTCGAATCGAACCTTAAATATCAGGTGATTTCGGTTGCGTCAGCTGGAAAGGATACGAGTTCTCCACCGGTGTGACCGTTAACACTGAAACTTGCGAATGGTCCTGGTGCAAGAAGGTACACGATGGCCCGATAACTCACGCCATCAGACCTGGAACGTTGAACGATGTTATAGCGACGATAGGCGGAAAGATATTTGCCATTTGGAAGGATACCTTCGATACGCCATTGATGTGGAAAAAATCAACTGTCGGGTATACATGATATAAAACGTAAAGCATAAAATATATATGTATATATATTAATATATACTTTCGAATGTAGATACACAGCCGGTTCATGGGGCAGTTTCCGTCCCACGGTTTTGATCCTGGCAAGAATGGATGGAAGCATCGAGATTTGGGACTTTATAGTGAAAAGCGAGGAGCCTGTTATCACGCAGAGTCTATCCGGTCGCATAATCACAGGGATTTATACCCATCTGTTGCACTTGAACCCGCAGTGCGTAGGATTCTGCGATTTCAACGGCACCTTGAGAATGTTCCTGCCTCCGGTCACGTTTCTTAAACACGACAGGACTAACGAGCAGTGGATGAGCAATTTTATCAAGCGGCAGCTGATCAGGGTAATAGAAGTTGTTTGCCTCTTCGCTCGACGGATGATTGTCGTTCGTTTTTACGTCGCAGATAGAGAATCGTACCAATTGGCAGAATAACTGGCGAAACACGCACCGTCAGCTCATCGAAGAGAAGCGAAAGCTAATAGAGCATATCACGGAAAAGAAGCAACTGGAACAGATGGAGAAGGTTAAAGATCAATTAACGGAGGCGGAGCTGACTGCGGTGGAAATAGCGAAGACGTCGGTACGTAACTGCCCAAATGCACATGTATAGATCACTCGGCTTCGGCGAATAAACTTCTCGTTATCGCGCGACGGGATGACATCGTGCACAGAAACCATGGGAAATGATCGAAGAGGCACGCGAACGGTGGAAAGCGATGGAACTGAAGCACATGCAACAAGTACTTCTAGAGAAGAAGGGTTTGAGGAAAGACGATCTGGAAAGACAACGAGAGCCCATTCTGAAGATGCGAGAGGAGTCACGGAGGAAGAAAGAGAAGCTCCAGGAGACACTGGACACGCAAGGGGTGATTTTCGAGCACACGATTAGCGTGTTCTTTCCGGAGCGCCAAGTGGAAAGCAGACAAGCCTCGACAGGCCCGGTGACGCAGTCCGTTTCAAGGAGAACCCATATAGACACAACGCTGGCGGACACGATACTACAAGGAGAAATCTTACAGGTGAATCACGATATCGTACAATCGTAATCGCAATGCTAATTGACCGCAGAGCGTTTATTATAATATATTCGTCTCTTGTTTCGACAACGACCGTTGTTTCCTCGTACGCGCGGAAATCATTTTACTCGACTAAACTCTCGAATTAATTCGAAGGCCACGTCTTATGTCGATCCGGACGAAGAGATTCTGCGCAATTTTATCGAGACGCAGACGAAAATGCTGACGTTCCTTCAACAAAATCCACTGATCCACACGTTCGATTGGCGGAAAACGTTGCGAGAAGGAAAATCCCGGCGACTTACCGTGCATTACAAGATTTGATGCTCGATGCTCCACGGCATCGAAACTGCTTATTCTTTGAGATTTAGACGTTACGAACGCGACGATCTGAAAGGAGTTCAATCGACGAGAAAAGAAGACTGTCCCGATCGTTATTACTCCTCGCATATAAGATCTTTCAATTTGTGGACCGATTAAACATTCAAGATTTCTTCTTTCTTCTTTCTCTTCTTTTTTAACGCGCAACCCTCAAGGACAACCCATTTTTAAATGCCGACCGCTTTCGAAGTTCGAACGTTCGGAATAGCCGCAGGTCCAGAAAAATCACGCGCATTACATACTTTGTTACGTAACCATTCTTGAAAAGTACGTCGTTATCAAGACCGATTAACAAAAACGAATGAAAAATAAGGTTGACATCGTTCCCCTTTGACATTCTGATATAATCGAATACAGCACGAATATTGTACGACTGATGCACAGATAGCCCGCATGCGTAAAAATATTATTTCTGCACATTCTAAACAACCGTGAGGGGATCCACTTGCATAAAACAGGTTCCCTTATAAACAGAACTCTGACCAACATTCAACTAGTTAATCGACGAACGCGAGCCTGCGCACGTGTTTGTAGTGAGTTCCTTTCACTTCCTAAGCTTCTCCTTTAAGATCGAACATCTCCGTATACGATGCAGTAACTCGCGAGTTTTTAACCGTCGATCGTACGATAATACAAATTACAGAACTCGGATCGGTTCGAAAAATATCAGCAAACGATATTAAAGTGACGTTTCGAACGACGATTCGCAAGAGCTACTTCATAACCGAGTTACAAGGAATTCGTTGCTTGCTTTTTCAGAGCATTCAAGATGAATCGTTTGGTGATATTGTTTCTCGCTGTGATCGTTAACTCTGCGTCGAGTAAAACGATCTTGGGTACTCCTGCAGCTCAAGGAACGACTTGCGCGACAGTGGAGTTAGTAGCCGCTAAACCGCATGAGAACAACGTGACAGGAAGTCTAAACTTCCGTCAAGAAGGACAAAACGGTCCGGTTAAAATCGTTGGTACGATACACGGTCTCGCCAAAGGGTTACACGGTTTCCACGTGCACCAAGATGGAAAGCTAGGCAACGGCTGCCTCGATGCAGGTCCACATTTCAATCCTCATATGGTACGTGACACGCTAAAGATATTTATCGAGAATTCTTGCTAATAATATTTTAGTTTTTTCATCATTTTAATCTCCATTTCCTACTGTACTTATTTGGACAGCGTGAAAGATCATTTTATTTTCTCTCGGATATCGAATCTTTCCATTGCATTCCATTTGATTCTTAAACGATACAAGTCATCTACATATCTTTTATATGCTTCTTCGTTGTACGTCTTCTTTAATATCAATAGCTAGAATACTCTCTTGGTAGTTACCTTCCAACCTTGTATTTAATTGAAACGTCAATTTTCCAATTTTCTTGTACAATTCAACGAGTTTGATAATGTTTACATTTAGGTGCACCACTGTGGACCAGACTGCTCCGAAAGACACGTCGGTGATTTGGGCAACATTTGGGCAGATGCTTGTGGGACAGCTTCAATAGACATTACAGACTCTGTGATTTCCCTTCACGGTGACCACAGCATTGTTGGGCGTGCTATCGTAGTTCATTCCGGCGAAGATGACTTGGGAACCGGAAGTAACCTAGAGTCTCTGAAGACTGGAAATGCTGGAGGTCGCCTAGCTTGTGGCACCATTGCTCTTGAATGTTCAAGAATGGATTAGTAAGATTATTATGATATTTAAAATTCATGATATGTTTATATACATGTATACCTAGATTTTTTATAAAATTCTCCGAAACGAATTTGTACACATATACGAGGTATAAAAATGAAATTATACATAAATAAATTGTGAAGACAAATTGTATAGAAAATATTCGTTGGATTATCAGTCGTTCGAAGATGAAAAATTCTACTAAAATTCAACCTGATCCCTCTTGTTTCGTTAAAACGCAGTCGTATTGCAGTGTATTGTTAGGGGAGTACCGAGCTTCCGGTCCCGTCTGCAATAAACTTTCAAATTGCGACTGCGACTGCTGAATACATTCCATTTCCGCTTGGTGAACGATTCTCGATATTTCCGTTTTCACTTTGACTTGAAGCGCGGGCGCGAAACCCCTGACAGTTTCCGCTATTGCCTCGAAATACTTGACCAAAGCGTCGCGAGATGCCGTTGGTTGGTTGTTCGAGTAATCCTGTACGAATATACCGGGATTAATCGGCTGTGACTGAGCAACGGTACACCAGGAATTCGGAACTGTTTCAGTTGGCGAAGTTTTTCCATTATCAGACACGATATCTTTGGAAGCCGGTGATGCCGCGGGTTTCTCACCGTAGAGTCGCGACGATCTCTTTCCTTGGAACGCGTTAGACTTCTTCGACTTGTCGAGAAATGGAATGACGAATGCCATCTCGGTTTCGTACTTCCACGGTTTCCCCTTTCTTACGGTACCATTCAATCTTCTGTTCTTCCGAGATTTCGAATAAAGATCCCTCAGATAACTCCATCTCGTTTTGCACCTAACAGCTTGAAACAATCATTTGAAAATAGTTGTTCCCTCGAATAGAAACGGACGTTTTATCGCAGATGTTTACAGTCTATTTGTCGAAATTAACAAAAATAAGATATGGTGAGACAAAACACGATAGTTAGTCGCCTATTTGAATCATCAAAGTTCTTTTTCATTAAACTCGGCTGAACAACTATTCTGATTGTATTCAGTTTTGTTTGCTTGAAATTTTCTTTAAATATTCTTTAAATTCGCTTGAAATTTGCTTCTAACCTGGTATTCCTATTTTCATTCCAATTTCGTCCCATATATTATCCCGTAGAACCTGATTATGGTACTCCTTAGCGGTACGATCGTACAGCTCCCTGTACTCTTTCACTTTCGCAATTAATTTTTTGTCATCCATCTTTCTCAATTATTCTACATCTCGCGTTCAAACGAAACAAAACTATGGGAAACATATCGGTCACAGTACGAATATTTCATATTCACAGTTATTTACGTTGTCTGGACATTTAACGGAAATAAACGGTTTAAAGAGTATAACCGAATTTTCGGTTCGTCCTGACCGCACTAAATATTCGCTTCGGTTCGGCCAGAAACCGATGTTCTGAATCTAAATCATAAATAAAGTGTAATAGAGATACAACGTTCAATAGAAACTTTTGGTACATTATCATGTTGATCGGAAATCGACACGGTAACTGATTAGAATAAAATTGCAGCGCCACACGCGGTTGGAACGAAAACTATCACCTACAAATTAGGAATTTCTCTTGAAAGTTGCTCATTATTATTAGAAAATCAACGTTTAAATTCGTATCATGGCTCCTCAGTTATAATCTTTTTACTTTCTGTTTTATTCCAACACATATAAACAAAAACTATTGATATCGCAATAAAGTAAATTCAATTCACGTTATCATCGGAGAAGGAAAACATTTGGCGCCACGCTTATTATTTCAAATTCAATTCGCTTTAAACGTATCTAAGTGTTTTTCAATTTCTTCTTCCGGTTTTTACAAAATAGAAGAACGTTCGAACAATATACAATTTAACATACCTGTAACTTAAATATTTGAATTCAATTATTTCCTTCGATAAACAACAAATATGGATGAGTTCATTTGTAACAAATGTTTTGTTACGGCTTACAGAGGAAAAAAACCATTTTGTTTAACGCAATGCGGCCACATATATTGTCAAGGATGTATTCAACAAGGTGATGAACAACGAAAGTTAAGAAAGTACAATAATTTCGCGAGTAAAATACTGCCCCTAGAAAGGAATATTCGATCAATCGAGTTAAATAAAATAATTAATAACACAGTAAATAAGTGTATAAAATACTTTCTGCTGGAGATATCAGCAGTGTACCACGAAAAATAGCAAAAGTTTATCACACTAATGTTTATAAAATATAACCTTTCACAATGTAGCAGAGAAACAATGTCCTCGGTGCCAAAAAGTGGATAATTTTTCTGTGGCACTAGAACAACCTTCCTTGTCCCAAGTGCAAAACTATTTTCTTCCACTCAAGGAATCATTGGAATCGTTGTACACAACTTGTGGTTTTCAGAGTAGCCAAATGAAAATTATGGTACAACGGTTTCTTGAAATTGTTAGTTTCTACAATTTTCATCAATACACATATATATATATTGCGTGTAAAAAAATACAGCTAACTTATGATTTCATTTAAGGACAAAAAGTATGAATCGCTGAAATCTCATTACTATAATCTTAGTCAAAATATGCAATTATTTAAAGATAAGTATAACAAATTAAAAATGATGAATATAGACCTACAAAAGAGACTGATGTCTTATGAAATATATAATAGAACGCTAAATTCTTCAAGCAATATCTCTACACCAATAACTTCTGCAAAGAAAAAACTCAAAACAAGGTAAGTACATAGTTTTTCTATTGATTTAGAACAATATGAATGCATATTTTTCATCTCTCAATATTATTTATATTCTTACAGGCATACTGCGAATTCGTACATTTCAACTTCTGGAACTAATATGATATCAACTTGTACAATGTCCGATGGTTTTCGCATAACAAATTCTGCTAATCTATACCGTTCTGGTGAAATTTCAGATACTAACCCTTCATATACATTTAGACACTAAATAAAAGTGTCAACTTTAATATCTAAATTTTTACTTGCGATTAAATTTTATATCACCTGTTGTTTATAATTAATGTAACGAACAAAACCGGGTTAAATAGAACGTCAATACCTGAATGAAAAGGGTGTTATCTTCTAGAAAGATCAGACGAAATTACAGACAAATGAAAACAGACTTTTTGACAAAATTGTTAATAATTTACAGTTAGGTTCTGAAAGATATCATTATTTAAAAACGCGACTGACGAAACAATCATCGGATGAGTTTCATTGATTTCTTTATCAATGTACTAACAAACTTCCATGCGTCTTTGGAAGCAATATTTTCGTTCGTTTAACTTGTTCATATAAATTGAACATTAATTTAAATATTAAAATTAAGAAAAATGATAATAAATCTGTTATTAGGATGTCGTAATTTTTATTAATAACAATAGAATTGTAGTGATTTTCAATAATAAAATTCATTGGTTTACGTACTTTTTGGTTAGAAGTACATCTGCGTTTACCTATAAACACGTGTATACCACTTCAAACGGTCCGATCGTTTTTATAAAACATTCATGTCAAATGACAACACACGAGGAACAGTTAAACCTGCTTGATGTGAAATTTACTTTCATCTCAACATTAATAGTAAGTGAGATATGCTTTTTTCATCCAGTTACATTTATATCTTTTTATTGTCTCCAGAAACATACATCCTAAAGTTTTGCAAACTATACTTGCTATAAGATATTTTTACTGTTGATTATATTTTTTAATAGGCAGGAGGATTAGCTGGAACTGTTGTTGATATAACATTATTTCCATTAGACACGATAAAGACACGATTACAAAGTGAATTAGGATTTAAAAAAGCAGGAGGATGTTCTAATCTTTATAAAGGACTATTTCCTGTAATTATTGGTTCAGCACCAAGTGGTAAATAATTAATATTATATGTATAAATTACAGAATATTTTTAATGTATGTCAAATGAGAAAATCTGTGAAATCTATTATATTTCTTACAATATTTCAGCATCTTTGTTTTTTGTAACTTATGAGGGTATTAAAAATACATTACTATGCAAGGTTCCTGAAAAACATCATACCACAGTCTATATGATTGCTGCATCTTTATCTGAAATGGTGATAATTTTTGAAAATTTGCATTCCTTTTACTTAATTTAACTTGTACTTAATTTAATGTTATTTTTATATTAAATGAAGGCAGCATGTATAATACGTGTACCAGTAGAAGTTGTAAAACAAAGGAAACAAGCATTAGGTTTAAAGAAAAATATTGTAAGTCTTCGATTACTATATCGTGGATATTGGAGTACTGTATTGAGGGATATGCCTTTTAGCTTAATACAATTTCCATTGTGGGAATATTTTAAAAAAGTATATAGCTTAAATATAAAGAGAGATATACTTCCGATAGAAAGTGCTGTATGTGGAGCAATTGCAGGTTTAACACTTGTTTACTTGCATATTATTCAAACTTTAATTAATACATAATTAAAATATATGAAATATGTTAGGTGGTATTTCTGCTGCTGTTACTACTCCATTGGATGTTATAAAAACAAGAATAATGCTTGCAGAAGAAAGCACAAAATCTTCACAACTGAAAATGTTGCGTGTCTTACGAAATATCTATACAAAGGAACATTTACAAGGGTAAGATTTACTTTCATAAACTTTAAGTTCGTTGCGAGTATATCGATCGTTTTACAGGCTTTTTGCTGGTCTTGGTCCCCGAGTAGCATGGATAACTTTAGGGGGTTTTGTCTTTTTCGGAACTTACGAAGAAGTGAAAGCTGTAGTGACAAAATATGTTTCACGTCTACATGTATTCTTTAGAAAAAGTAGTATTTAAACGTTAATAATGTACATGATCGTATAAAAAATAAAATAATATTTTTACAGATTAATAGTTATAAATATAGATTAACTTTTATAATAATTATAAAATATATTACAATATGTAAAAATATATTATTTGCATACATGTACATATATATTATTTGTACGTGTATGTCATTTATATATCATTTATGTATATTTGCTCCAAATGGATATATCATATGACATTCATTTTTTACAAAAAAAAAATATTCTTCTCACACTTTACAGTTTAGACTTCAAGCTTTGCATTAATTTTTCTAATTTCATTGCCTTTTGAAGGTTGCCTTGGATTTTTAATTTTCCCATCACGAGTGCCGTCGCGGGATTTAATTTCCCTAAATATCCATAAATAGTTAATCTTTTAATATCATTATATGCGTTAAATGTAATATTTTAGTAAACTTATTTACCAGCAAACATTGCAAAAAAGTTCTGTGAATCCATTGTTAATGTGGCATCCGGTGGCTGACTTGGTTCTCCTTTTCCTGTTGAACCTTTACCAGTTTTAAGGTCTAAATACCACGTACCTGCTTCGTTACCTGTAATATTTATATCAAACAACGCGATTATGAATCAGATTTTGTTTCAAGGTACTTTCTACAAATAACTTTCTTACCTTTGACATTAAATTGAAATATGGCTCCTGTTTTGCTTACAAGTTCACTACTTAAATTAGCCTCAATAGCAGTAAATATTTGTTCAACCTTTAATTTGTTATTGCTTTGCGTATTATCAGCCTTTGTAGTACCAAAGCCCTTTTCTATTTGACCCTGTAGGCTTAATTCTGCTAGATTATCTTCCAAGAAAAAATCTAGCATCAAATTATCTTTATTTGCTGGAAAAGCAAGATTATATAATTTTATACAAATTAAAGACAATACTTAAATATTCATATCTAATAAATATACCTGGATTACACGCGTAGTTAGTGAAATCATTAATTCCTTCATTTTTTAGTATTTCTTCATCGATCAGAAATTGTCCATTGATAGATCTACTGTCTTTACAAATTAGAGCATAAACAGCATCTCCCATTATTTCTGGCTTACGACTATAATTATCTGCATTAGGACCACTTAACATTTCAATTGCAGCAGTATGAATAGCTTAAATAAAAATAAAAAATGTATTGAAAGTAAATAAGAAAAAAGGAACAGCTCACTATAGGAACACAAATTAAATTCTAAATTTACCAGTTTTTGGCCAAACCGCATTCACAGCAATACCGTCTTCTTTAAATTCCTCTGCCATACCAAGAACACACATTGACATACCATATTTTGCCATGGTATACGCAACATGATTTTTAAACCATATTGGTTTCATACTCAGTGGTGGACTTATGTTTACTATATGTGGATTCTTACTCTTCTTCAAATATGGTATGCAAACTTTGGACCTTAAAGTGATATCACATAATTATTCTAAGTCATTTCTTTTTCATTTGATAACATTAAGTTAACATAATTGTTGTTAATTTAAATAATTAGTAATAAATATTTTATAATTACACTAAAAATGTTCCTCTGGTATTGATGTTGTGCATAAGATCATATTTTTTCATATCCGTGGATATTGTGCCTGTTAAAGAAATTGCACTCGCATTATTAATAACTACATCAATACCACCAAATTTATTAAATGCTTTCTCTACTGCTGAAACTACTTGCGCTTCGTCCCTTACATCTACAATACATGGTAACGCTTTTCCACCTGCTTCCTCAACTAAAACACATCATTAATTCCTTTGTCATTTCTCTGTAGGTAATTATTACATATGATAATATAATATTTCAACTTGTTTTTCCAACAAATACGATAAAAATAATTACTTTCTGCAGCTGCAGTATATATTGTGCCTGGTAGTTTTGGATGTGGTTCAGCAGTCTTGGCTGCAATAACAATATTTGCTCCATCTTTTGCAGCTTTTAAAGCAATACTTTTCCCAATACCTCTTGACGCCCCAGTAATAAAAATCGTGCGACCAGCGAGTTTTCTACGTTAAAAATCCATAGGTTACGTACCAATTTTTATAAACTATTCTCTATAATCTAGTTAACATTAACAATTATTCACTATCATCATAGTAATTTTCATAATATTGTTTGTAATCTATATTACATACCCAGTATTGATCATATTGTAAATGGTTCGGCAAACCGTCAAAAATAATATCGGCTTATTGTTAAATTAATCTGTGCAGTTCTACTGACGACGTCGAAATAAAGAATTATTTTTATAAAATAAATGACTGATAAGTGGAGGGTACAATGTTCAAGTTGGTTCAAGCATCAACCTTTAAAGATATGTTAAATCAGGTCACTCTGTGAACGGGAATGAATTTTCTCTTGTCATTTTTGTCTATTCGCTCCCCACCAACCATTATCCCCTCAAACTTCGAAGTGGCCGTGTTGAACGTTAAACAAACGAAAAAAGAGGATCCGTCTAAGAAAGAATAAACGAAACAGCGACTTGTTTTTCGGTAGCAAATGTACAAAAAATGCAAATATGCTTTGAAAAAATGAATAACCTAATTTGCAATATAATCATCTGCATCATTACATTACGGTACATTTAACTGTAACCAATGATTCAAATATTGCAAATAAGTATAATGAGCATTTATTATGCACTTTGTTAGAAAATAATTGTATGTTAAGCTGATATTTATACCCGTTAACAATGTGCGGGATATTTTGTCATATCTTACAAAACTATGAAAATAAATTACAAGTTTCCAGTGAGGTAATGTTTCTTTAATGTACAAAAAAATAATTTTTATTCATTAATCACAAGGATATTTACTATTGAAGTTATATCATTTTGCTAGTGGAACAGTTGTAGGGATTTGATAGTTGCTCGTGGTCCTGACAATGTCACTGAAAGGATTGAACATTTAAACGAAGATTGGTGTGGACATTTTGCTGCCTCTGTATTATGGATGCAAGGTTCTAATATGAATGTACAACCTGCTATAGATTCTGTTGGTAATATTCTTTTATGGAATGGAGATGTATTTTGTGGAACATTGGTAAATATATTATTGTCGTAACAAACTATTGAATCTTAGGTTCTTCATTGTCAGACATCCATGCCTACAAACAGTTATAAATGTTCATACTTATTGTTCCAGGCACAGGATAATATATGTGACACAAATGTGATATTGAGTTCTCTTCGATCTTCTTCAAATGTAATATCTGTTTTCAAAGAAATTCAAGGACCATATAGTTTTATATACTTTCAAAAATCTAGTAATCGTTTATACTTTGGTAGAGATATCATAGGACGACATAGCTTACTCATGAAATTGAATACAGATGAAAATAGTTTAACTTTAACATCTGTTGCTACTAAACAGATTAAAGGAATTATAGAAGTTCCTGTAGTTGGTATTTTTATGATGAACTTGTCTGATTTGAGAGTAAATCTGGCTTGCTATCCATGGAGAAAACCAGACTTAAGATTCACAAATGTTATCAAAGCGTTAGAAATGCATTTGAATGTGGATATTGCTATAAAGAAAACTATAATTGCCTCTGATACAATAACAAATATATATCTAAATCCTAGTATTAAGGATTTGGAATGTTTTGAAAATAATTTTTACTGTGAGCATTCTTATAACACTTTAGATTATTTGTTACATTATAAAGATATATATGAAAGAGTAGATCATTTATCACAACTTCTTCACAAAGCTGTAGAAGTTAGAATAAGAAAACAACCAAGATTTTGTAAAAACTGTATTAAATTATCTCTAAATGGAGAAAATATTACATGTAGCCATACAAAAATTGGTGTACTTTTTTCTGGAGGTTTGGATTCTGCTATTTTAACATTAATTGCTGATAAGTATGTCCCAGAAAATGAGTGTATAGATTTGGTTAATGTTGCATTCGAAAAACCAGTTAATGCATCCATAAAATCTAATAAAAATTATGAGAAACAAGTCGAGCAAGACCAATATGATGTTCCTGACAGAAAAACTGGAAGACAGACATTTTCAGAGCTTTTAAGTATTTGCCCTAAAAGACAGTGGAATTTTGTAGAAGTACAGTATTAGAATTTTTATTTGCACTTAATAATTTTTTATGAAAGTATGGGAAATTGCACAGTCATGTACAACTATTTCAGGTAAATGTCACACAAGCAGAATTACAAAAATATCGTTCCTTGAGAATTTGTCATTTGTTGTATCCACTGTGCACAATATTGGATGAAAGTTTAGGTTGTGCTGTGTGGTTTGCGAGTCGAGCAGAAGGTACACTTTCTACAAGCAATCATTTTTATGAATCACCATGTAGAGTACTTCTGTTAGGCATGGGTGCGGATGAATTGTTTGGTGGATACATGAGACATAGAACAATATTAAAACACAAAGGGTGGAATGCATTAGCAGAAGAATTAAATATCGAGTTGAGCAGAATTGCTGAAAGAAACTTGGGTCGTGATGATCGTGTTGTATCTGATCATGGAAGACAATCTAGGTTGCCATATTTAGATGAAAGTATAGTAGAATATGTCCAACAATTAAAACCCTGGGAAAGGTAAAATCAAATTTTAAAAAAGTGGTATTAATAATAAAGATCAAATATTATTTTGAATTTTTTAATAGATGCTACCCAACAGATAAAATGCCATCTGGTTTAGGAGACAAATTATTATTACGCTTACTAGCATATAAACTTGGTTTCCGAAACACTGCCACTTTTCCTAAGAGAGCTTTTCAATTTGGTTCTCGAATTGCAAATAGCAAAGAAAATGCTAAAGACATATCAAACCGGTTATGAGAAAATGGTTTGTATAATCATCTTAAGTTGTTGTAATGTATATTTTAATTAATATTAAAATTAAAAATTTTAAACTTGCGATCATTTCTGTACTTGCTATCTTAATTGCATTTTGTAATTAATATCTGTATGTGTCCTTATATTGTAAAAATATTATTTTTAACAAAATATAGTAAAAATATTAATTTTCATATAATTGTTTATAATATACATAAATAAAGTAAAGCACTTGATTAATATAGAACACTTATCATAATCAATATGTATATTTAATAAAAATTGCATAAATTTTGTAAAATTTTAATTATGTTATGATTTCATTATGTATAATACTACAATACTGAGTATGACTCAATTTAATTGCATTGACTGATACAATGAGTCTGAGCTATTTAGATTCTTTAAAGTATTATATTATAATTTTTTAACAAATTTGTAAGTTAATTGTTGTTTCATGAAATGTAATATTTACCACTTGGGAAGAGCGATAAATAATGCCTGTGTAACTTTAAAATTATTAAGCAACGGTGAATTAATTTAATGTAAAAATGTATTGCAGGGAGGTTAGAAATTATCTTTTTAATAACATATTTTATAATTTTGTGTTATATAGAATTATAGAGTCATTCCCATAAAAAATTAATTATTGTATGAGATCATTGAGACATACTGTAATAAAGAAGTGACATAATGTCGCAAAGTGCAGTTTGTTTGGATACAGAATTGAGAAAATTGAGACCAGCAGAATTATACACACTTGGACAAATATTAAACATATATGATTCATGGAAAAAATTAATGGCTATTATACCAAAGAAAGAAAACTGTGAACTTCCTAAATTTAATACAGAACATTTCAGGTAATTCACTAATTATAATGTCACAAAAAATTATTAATTATATTCTCTTTATTGTATATATTTGTATAGTATGATTGAGCATGCTGCACGACAACAAAGAAGAAATGCAGCAGAAATATTTTTAGCAGAATGGGGAACAATGGGTAAACAGAGACCAACATTACGTGTTCTATTAGAACTTTTAGTAAAGGCAGAGTTATTTAGAGCTGCTGATTATGTAGCGGGCGACATATTGAAAGGTATCATAAATCAAGACCTACAAGTCATTTTGATTGTAACACGCTGATTTTTGTTAACAGAGGAACTACCAAAACGACCAGAATGTGGACCAGCAGCTCCTGTAGATATATCAGATGAAGAAATACAAAAATTGTTAGAGGAAAAGTTGGGATCACAAGATATTGATTTTAACGAGTCTCTAATATTTGGATTACCTTCTGACACTAATGATAATAAAATGATCAATCCTAATGCAATTGACAATGTGGTGAACGATAATACACTAGAAAGAAACATGCAGTCAACAAAACTGGTTTCTATGAAAGAAAAACACCATAAAAAGTGTTTGGAAAATGTTGGAAATCAACAACAAGAAAATATTGAAATATCTGATTTGATGAAATTTAGTAATGAACATAATATAGAAGAATGTAGAGTTTACAATGATTCCAATGGATCAAAGCAACCTGTAAATAATACATTCAACACAAACAGTTGTAACTCACAGGAATGTGTATTTAACAAGCATGAACTACCGTCTTCTGATTTACCTGTATTTCTAAATGAATTTGGACAGAACGTGAAACAAACGAAATTAAACGGGGAAGTGACGTCAGATGAACTTCCAGCTTTCTTGAACAGTAGTATGTCGACGTCTGATAGTAATACACAAATTAATTCCATTAACGATTCGTTAAATTTTTCTAATTTAAATCTTAATCAGAATGAAGTGGTTTCTGCAGAATTGCCTCAGTGCATTGTTGAACTTGCAATTAATCCAGACATTATTTCTAATGAGGAAAATCTAATACAAAATACATTGGATTCTCAAGAATTGCCTATTACGGTTTTAGAATATAATGATTAACATAATTAATTTTTCATCCATATTTTAATAAAGGAAACTCTTATTTTTTTTATACATTTGTCGAAATACATTCGAGCTTTGGTTTAAAGCAATTTTTTATAAAACGAAATGCAAACAATATACTATAAATGTTCTTAGAAAACTATAGACATGAGTATACATCTATTTAGAACTCGATAAGAATAATATAATAATCTTATATGTATGTTAGAACTAAAATGTCCATATAAATACTTCATAATTTGTACATATAACTAAACAGCGTTGTAACGTGATTTATATTTATAGTAATATATTCAATTTTAATACAAATCTTATGTTAAAAATGATATATTTTCTTTAGCATCATTATATACACACAATGGTAAACATGTTTCAAGAAATATCGCGATATTGTGATATAATTAAATTTATCGATACAAAGGAACCCACGACACATATCACATCGTACAGCAATACATGAAATAGATGGACGAAAGTTTGGACATGATAGAAACATTTATTAAGTCTTATTAGATTTGATAAGGAATACAAGTTACCTATAAATGCAGGTGTAAGTCTGTGTCTACCCATCACTATTATTACTCTCATTCATAGTAAAGTACAGGCTTTGAAGTTCCCTAAGATTGTTTTCTAACGTGGCAACTTCATCATATCTGCAATCATCCTTAGCTTGTTTGATGTAGGCTTGAAGATTACTCATTTGTTCAATTATAGGATCCATAGAGGAAGGCATCTTAGGTGTGACATTAGCAGGTCCCCAACCTTGAGACTGATTCAATACCACCACCGGCTGTACAAATAATGTTATCCATTGAAACGGATATAAGAGTTTAGGTTTTAATTTTTTTCTATTAGATCAGTATTACCTGATTTTCTTTCACAGAAGGTCGGATTTCATTGTTCCAGGTTTCCCTTTTACGCAAGTCTTTCAATTTTTCTCTTTGTTCTTCTTCTAGCTGTCTTTCATATGCAATTCTTGCTTCTAATTGTTTTTCACGTTCTTTCTGTAGCTCTGTGTATCTTTCTTCTGAAGGCAAAGCTTGTATAGTTAATAATTCTTCTTTTAAAAATATCATTGCAGATACTCTGACCATCTGATGCAATCTGAGTTCTTGTCCTTGTGGAGGGTTCTCCACACATTTCGTGCCCAGTACTGAAATGCGTTTACTGATCGAATCTATATTTTCACCTAGTTTTGCAATTTTAACTCTTAAAGCTTGCGCGTCTTCCAGATTATACGTAGTTTCTCCTTCGCTGAAAAATGAATTGTAATTAATATAATGTTACAAACGTTTATTTTATAATATTTATACAAATACCTGAGAGACTCCCACATTTTGTTGTACATTTTTACATGTTGAGATGCTTCTTCCATATAACCTTTCATTTTTTCATAAAATTGACATAAAATCGGTTTATCGAAGTGCTTTGCTTTTTGTTTTTCTCTTGCATCAAGTAAGTTTGCACAGTGTATGCATATTCTGAAATGCTGGTCACCGGCTGCTGGATCATTAACTAACGACAGAACGCTATTTAAACTATCATTAGACGGTGACATAGCCAACTTTGTAAAACCAATACCTGCACGTACTAAACGCTCTGAAATGGGCTTTTCAGATGTAGGAGATACCGCAGATTCATCTTGTACAGTCACAGGACTTGTCATTTTTCCTATAAGTTAATTACTATATTTCTTTAAGCTGTAACCTACTTGTTATTTTGATCAGTACTTTCAAACTTACTTGCATCTTGTAGAGATAAAAATACTGTACAATTGTGGCACATTACAGCTCCACAAAGTCTACAGTGATGTTTTCTTCTAGCAATATGAAAACTTTTTGCACAGTTAGGACATAATTTTACATCTTTCTCATCTATCCATGGCACAATTGTGCGCTCATGAACTATGTTAAATAAAAGGAATATGATAAACTACTGTTTTTGAAGACAATGTATTCGTTTGATACAGATATTACTCTCATAAATGTACTACCTTTTCTATCAACAGGGTCTGTTGGTAAATTATTTAATAATTTGTCTAGTCTTATAAGAAGTTTATTGGTTTCTATAGAATATCGTTCCAGTCTTGCATTTCTTATGTCTTTAAAATATGTTGTATATGATTTTATCACACCTGAAATTACATATAACAATGGAATCAGTAAAATCTGTTGGAGAATATTTGCATTCAACAATAAAAGTGCCAATGAAAACTTTTTTGTAAAATATGAAATTAAAGTATCACTGATTAATATTTGATCATACCTATCTCCTGGGGTCCCCAATTAAGTTCTGGACTACGTTGTCTGCTACTGGATACGGTGGTTGTAAATGATTCTGGTATTTCATCTTGCTTTAAAATCTTCTTTTTAGCTTTACCAAAAAGATCTAGGAACAAAAACAGCTTCAGCTACTTTATCCATCAATTTTAAATATTCGTTTAGGAGGATAAAAATATGAAATCCTTTTGTGATTTACAGTATTATAAATTCAAAATATCTACAGATCATTGCCGACAGTAAAAACGCTCACCTTTAAGTGATTTCAAGATTTCTGGGTCGTCATTATGAAAATCCTTGAAATGTTTAGTCAACTGTGTTGGTGCTTTGAATTCTGTCATACATATTGGACAAATAAAGCCTTCTAATACTTTCTCGCTACAAGCCATTTTAAGATAGGGTTTTTGAAAAAAATGTTGTTATTGTCCACTGGAATTTCTTTCTATCTCATAACAAACGGTAATCATTCGTAGGCGTCTATCTACTTGTAGATAGAAAACGTATACTGTAAGCGGCCATGTTGAATCGTATCAGCTGATGGAAATGTCAACCTTTTTTGTTAGATTAAGAACAGTGAAATTTGTAAAAGTTTATTCGCCAAATGTAAAAACGTACAACATTATAAATGACTGTTACAATATAAACTTATAAAAGTGTTTTCATAATTTTTAATGGAATTATTACAATTTTATTAGCTTCTGCGAATAATTAAAATAATAATCGTATTATTATATTAAAAGTTAATATTTCTACTGTCCTATTGTTACATTGAATAATAGATCAGACAAGTTCCTAAATTCTTCTGAAGCTTCACAATGCTGCAGAAGGTTTGAGTTTATTTTTTCCTCTCCATAAAACGCTCCAGCAATTGCACCAGTCATACTACCAATAGTATCTGTATCACCACCTAAACTAATCTGAAAATAAAAGAATATAATTTGATATTAATTTTATTTTACTTAGAATAAGGGTTGTATAAAAGAAGGATGTATAAGGGTATTTACAGCATATTGAATTGCCCTTCTAAAAGGATTCTCTGTCTGTATGTCAGTAATTGGTTTCTGTGCCCTTAAGAAACAAAATATAGCTGTTGGTACCGAATATAAAGCTGCAACATTATTTCCCAATTGTTGAACTACTTTTTCTTCGTGTGGACCTTCGCCATTTTCTAATATCAAGTTTTTCAATATACTCAATTGTAGTTTATAGGGTTGTGGTTCTGACAGACCTAAACTGTAAGAAAAATTCATTTGTTATACTAACAAGTATTCTTGGAACAGTATCAAGTGTTTCTATGCATTTTTAAAGCACACCCCTCTTCATCTGTCTCTATTTGGTCCATTTTATCAATCAAATCATCGATAAAGCTAACAACATTCAGTTCTTCCTTAGGATTTAGTAATAGACTCTGTTGAACTGCTGCTGCCTGTAAAGCGATAAAGATTTAAGTTAAAAATCTCGCTTGTAACAAAACATGTCTGTAAGTTATACGAAAAGTAATTACTTGTAAAATGGCACCATCTATTCCTACTTTATGAGTATGAGTCAGTTGAGTACATTTTCTAGTAATGTCGACAAGTTTATCAAAATTTTGATAACAAAACAATGGAATAGGTGTTACTCTCATTGCTCCTCCATTTCCCCATGAACCTTGACCATTAAATTGGTTCTTTGCTGGGTTTACAATGTCCGTAAACTTGTTACCACGAAGCTTTTGAAATACCTTGTAGCATTAAGAGTATACATATAAATAACGAACATGTGTCTTGAGTTTTTATGCATTCAAGCCTGGGAAAAAGTAGTTTCATTGTATCGTACTGTTACAACAGCAGGACCATAGCCACGATTAGGTTCTTGATAGTAACTCTTGACAAATCGTTTTGCTAAATCAATGACATCTAATTCTTTTGTTTCCACTAAAGATTTGGCCAGAGAGTAAGTCATCGCAGAATCATCGGTAAACGGCATAACAGGAGCTACGCAGTGAACAAAATTCTTTGTAGCTTTAAACTATCGAGAAAAGTGTGAGATAGTTTGTGTAAAAAATTTGCCTTTAAACATCGGTCCCTCTAATTTATCGAAAGATCGTTGTAAAACTATTTTCATGCCGGTCGTTAGTTGTTCATCTTCATAGGGGCGACCTAGGCAATCGCCGATTAAAGCACCCAGCATAGAACCACGAAATTTACTTCTTAACAACGATAGATCCATTTCTGACATAATCTTCCGACTTTCGAAAATTGATAATCCTTGATAAGTACTTATTCGCAAGTACCTACTTCGGGATGTAAATAAGCACGTGTACGTAGTTCATATACAAGCGTACACATGAATCGTAGTTCGTACTTATCTAAGTGTACCGCTTTGTTAGTTCTCACATTGACATCAATATGGACACGGACTTAAGGTTCGTAGTATGAAGGTAAATATGTTTAAAGAGTTGCTAGCATCCCGTTTAGATGTCTCTGCGGTAAAGTAGTAGGTAAAATAAGGTTACACAAACACTTTCCGAGTAACTGACAGAAAGCCGTGGAATTGAAACGAAGTAGGAATATTGCATTAGAAACGTTAGAAATGTACACTTTTTAAGAAGCTCGGTTAGGTTAAGCAGTAATTTCGTATTGAAGCTTAGAGAAAGCTAAATAAAAACTTTCCATCTTACCACGTTAATGTATCTGTATTGACCATCGGAGGAGAATTATCGATGTTTTTAAAAATATAGTTTCGAAAGCTTTTGCAATTGGACAAGTCGGAGAAGTTTAGACCGGGCTTTTCGATTTATCATTTCCAAGCTTCTTAAGCTTGCTTGGGCCCAGATGTTTGCCGACATTTATCTTTAGTATGGTTCACTCTAATGTAAATTGAACTTGCAATCGAATTATTTCCTCTTCAAGTTCTAACCTTTGCTTCTACAGACGGGTACAGTAATTTTAACAGACGCAGCTGCAAGGTGAGAAAATAAAGTTGTCATCTAAAAGAAACAGAAAGAGAATTTTGTTTTCCAAAAGGAACTTGCGCATTAGAGAAACCGTTACAGAATCTTTGCTTCGGGTAATCTTTCCTTTCTTTCTTTACAAAGACAGGTTATTCGAACAGTGCGATAAATGTGCGCAATGAAAACGTCAACGATCGTCGTAACGACAAAATATCCGGGGAGACGTTTGAACGTTGCACTAACACGTACCGTGTTACTAGCGAAATGGTTAAGCCACGATACATCTATGCATTTCAGACGATTCCACTCGAACGAATATCATACATTAACGTTTCTCAATAAATTTACAGGCGCTATCTAGGCTGGATCTCGAACGGTCGTCCACGCGAAGGAGCGAGGAAGCAAGTTGCCGGCGCCTCGGTTATCGATGATTTTTCCAACGATACAATCGATTAGCCTGATCGTCGAACAATTCAGACGATTAGATCGAAAGAAGAGTTACCGAGAAATCCAGTTATCCTTGGCTCGTTTAATATGTCAGTGACATCTCGAGGGAGTCGAGGCGAACGTCGCTCGCGTGCTCCGTTCAAGTACACACGGATAATTCGTCCGGAATAACGTTTCCGAATATTTCCAGGTGACATCCGGTGCATGCGAAATTGCGATCCGCGTGGGAGAAGCAGGGGAGGAAATCCCCGGCTGCCGGTTAAGGGCGGTTTTCGACGGAAGGATCGCGGCGGCGACGTCGGGAGAGGGCGACGATTGGTCGGGGCAGAGGATGCGTGGTCCGCTCAACCCGGGCATATCCAGTCTATCGCCGACCGCCGACCGCGTACTCGCGCGTACTCGCGCGTACCCGTGCGGT